AGAAGATTCACCAGTGGACACTCTCATCAGCAGTAAATGAGGGCTTCTTTTACCCCACATCACTGCCAACACTGGTTGTTTCCATTCTTTGTGATGTGTACCAGTCACACTGGTGTTGAGAGCTAATCTTTCAATTGCATTTCCGTGTTAAGTGATGCAGTACACTTTTTCATATACTTATTGATATATCTTCTTTGATGAAATTTCCAGTCCTACCTTCTCCCTATTTTTGGATGTTTTTTTCTAGTTGAGTTTTACCAATGTTTTATATATCTTGAATATTAACCCTCTGTCAGGTGAGTGGTGGGAAAATATTTTCTCCCAGTCTCTGGGGTGTCTCTTTATTCTGGCCATCTTTCTTTTTCTTCAGTGTAGAAGCTTCTTAATTTGCTATAGTCCCACTATCTCTGCTGTCATTTGCTTGGTGAAATTATATTGATGAAAACAGGCAGAAAGCTTCATGACATTGAAACAAACTAGAGGCATCTTCAATGGCAAATAGTTTTTATTGGCAGAAAAATAAAGTGGGTTATAGGACTTTTGAAAACGATTTAAAAATCTACTTTCTATTTAGTATCTTTGCTTTGTGCAATTTTCATACATTTCAGTTAATTACTTACTGAATAGGCTTCTGCCAGAAATGCAGACAAGACCATTAATCTCATCTGCCAACCATGAAGCTAAGTCAGGAATAGAAATTTCCTTTCTCCAAGCAACAATCAGGTGAATAGCTACCAGTCTGCTACATTATCTCATTCAATCGAAACAGGATGACAAAAGATAACATAATGAATAGTAATGCTTGAAATCTTTAATTTGACATACCATCTGCAGCATGTCACACTTCACACCCAATCTGATCTAAGCCCGAGTTGCAAGGCTAGTCTTCAATGTTGAAAGAGCATCATCTCACAAGAAAACAGAAGGAAAATGAGAAACCAATCCTCTTTTTTTTTTCAGATTACAAAAAGAATATGTACAACTAACTTTTTATGTTGAGCACAGCCAAGAGCATTATTATTTACTAGTAAAAAATTGTGCTAAAGAATTGAGTAACATATTACAAACGCTCTCGACTCTCTATTAGGTTGGCACTCACTAAAATTTACAATACTGTCAACGTTGGATTTTTGCAGTAATACTTTGTTTGCTCTAGCCAAGTTTGGATCTAAAATAGGAAAATTTAGCACTTGTCCAGCATATCTGCATGCTTTTGACTAGTTAACATGTTAATCAAGAAAAAGGCTATGCTGTCCAGCTATTAGATAAGTTATTTGGAAAAGGAAAAATATTTGTCTATGAATTGGTAGATGAAATGTTTCCAAGAAAAAATAATAAATGAGCCCTATTTTAGTTCTCTCCTATTATGAATGACAGGTTTAACATTCTTAGAAACCTTAAGAATATAATGACTACATCTTTAAAAGCCCCTAGGGATTATAGTACATTAATGTATCAGAGCCAGTAAATTATTTATCTATAAATTAATCTTCCTAAACAGATTTTTACCCCCCTTCAATTTGAAAGCTAAACTTCTGAGTCTCCACTTCAGCAACTTTATATCTGAAGAGCTTACATCTGTAAAAACACTTCTAATGAAAACACAAAGACAACCCCGAGAGAAGCAAATAAAATGAGATTTAAGTATATAGCAGCAGTTCTACAGTTACATTCCTAACAATAGTGGGTCGTAATTTGATGCCAAATAGGTTACATAACAAAATCAGTGAGAACTTTAGTTCTTTAGGAGTTGAAGATCTTCAATGTTGAAACACATCTCTTTTCCCGCATTCACACCACAGTGGAAGACAATCTTTGTTTCCAATGGGTAGGAAGAATATGGTTGTGCTCTGGAGCAACACCAGGCGGCAGACAAAGTGCCTCTAAAATAGCCTGCTGCCCAAGACCAGTTATGCTGGTCAAAACCCAAATATCAAAGGTGGATTTAAGTTTTCAACTCATACCATTAAAAATTAGCCAGCAGCTCAAAGGGCTGGTGCTGTGTGTTTTGCATGAGAGGCCTGGGTTTGAGCCCTGGCAACACACGGTTCCCCAACACCAACTAAGTGACTCTCAAGGAAGGAGCTTGGAGTAGAGGCTGAACACCATTGGATTAAGTCCCCTAAAAAAAAATGTAACATGATTTTGTTTAGCGTTCCTCCACAAATCACTTTACCAACTAAAATATAACCACCAACCACCAATAAAACTGCCATCAATAAAAGTCTCCTTTTAGGAACAATTTTTCGTGAAAAATTCTCTCTTCGATTTATATCTATGGTAAAGACTATCTGCTATATTACACATCTAATATTTTGTTTTGTTCATGAATCTTTCTGAAAAGATGACTATAATTTAGTAACTATGAACAGCATTACAATGTTCAGTTTTAAGGATCCTCTAATCTTACTTTTTACTCATTATTAAAAAGTATTCATTAATATTCACTAATACCAGACTTTATTAACAAAGGTATCATAAAACATATAGTACAATCTAAAATCCATTTCTGTGCTGAAGGGACGAGAAAATATATTCTTTTTAAGAAGCTCTCCACAGAAAGAGCAAGGGGAGGGGAGAAGAGAGAGAGATGCTTGCTATACAGGTGGGGGTGGGGGATGGGAGGGAAAATGGGGACATCGGTTGTGAGAAATGTGCATTAGTGAAAAGATGGGTGTTGGAATTTTATATGATTGGAATCCAATCATGTACAACTTTGTAACTGTGTATCACAATGTGGCTCAATTAAAAAAAAATTAAAAATAAAAGCAGGGTTGGGGGGTCAGAGAGGAGCTCCACAAACACTTTCCACGTGCAAAAACTGTTTAGGGTGAAAATACTCGGTAAGCAGATTGGAGGAAAGTCGGAAGCAAACTTGAAAAGATTTGGGATAAAATGTCGGTAACAAAACTTACCATTTTAAGAGCTGGAGAGATAGTACAAAGGTAAGGCACTTGCTTTGCGTGTGGCCCAGGCAGGTTCCATCCCTGTCACCCCAGATGTTCCCCTGAGTTCCACCAGGAGTGATCCCTGAGCATCACCTGGTACAGCCCCAAACAAATAAATTTACCATTTTAACCACTTTAAAACAAGCAACTTCATGGCATTAATATATTCACAATGTCATGCAACCACTTCCACTATTCAGAGTTTTTTCATCATCCCAAACAGAAAACTCGACCTATTCAACAGTTCCCCATTCCTGCTCACTACCATACCCCGCAACCCCCATCCCACCCCAGCCCTCAGTAACCTTTATTGTCTCTGTCTTTGAAGCAAAATTTTAAAAAGCAAAAACAACCCAATGCACAAAACCCTGCGACCCTTCGCCTGAGCAGGGAAAATGAGCCCATTTCCTAGCCCCTCCATGGTCATCAATTGTTTAAACTGATTTGGGTGGTCAGACTATACACAATCTTTCATTTTCTTCATGGATCAGCAGCCAGTGTTACGCATGTGCTTACCTGGGGCAAACCTGTATGCACCGCTGATATATGAATAAATACCTGATCTCCCTGGCCCTGGCATTCTGGTTAACACACTTCCCATTGTGGCCAAACATGGGAGCAGGTATGCAGTTAAATGTTGGTGTAGCACTTGTCGTGCGCCAGAACCGCACCATCACAGGACTGCAGATGCTGCAGCAGAACGTTGCCTGCCTGTGAAGAGGTGACTGGCAGCAGACTAGCTGAGCTGTAGTCTTGACTCAATAATGCTGCCCTTTATGTCAACATTCTGAACCTTTGGAACATTTAATATGTGATAAATTGTGGTAAAGCCTACATGCTAGGCATAGAAAAATTACACTTTAGATTTTCAAGATTTCAAAATTTTAGTACCAGATTGGATTTGGGTTTGTTGTTTTGATGGGGCGGGGGGGAAGACTCATGTGGCAATTGTTTGGGGTTTGGTTCTGTTGGAGCCACGGGACAAATCTGAGTCTCGTGCAAGCCAAGCATGCACTCAGGCCATGAAACCATGAAACTAGGCCCTCAAATTGGACATTGATCTAAAATATCCAGAATCAGCAAATGAAAAGAAGAGAGCAGATTAGTGGTTACCTGGGCCTGGGCTTGGGGGAGTACAGAATGAGCGACTGAAAATTGATTTGGGGTGTTTTATTTTGGGAGGGGGGAAGGCAGGGATCGGGTACCCAAAAAAATCCCAGAATTTCATAGTGGATGGTTGTACAAACTTGTGACTATGCTTCAAAGTGCTGGTATTTACCACTTTAAAACAGTTAACTGTGTATGTCAGTCAAGATAGTCACAATGGAAGTAAAAGACTGTGTGTGTGTGAATTATGGTTTAAGTAAAATTGGTTACATCTGTGTCAAAATAAATCGTACTGATATACAAAATTAATATACCCAACCACCAATAAAGCGGCCCAAGGGCCATTCAACACTATACCACCTCTATTCTGAGACACACCAAATTCTACAAATCCATACATGGCTACCAGAGGCCCGTCAGCAGGTCAGTCCCTGAGGAGGTGACTGAGGAAGAGCAGTGTGTCTGGGGCAAGGGGAGAGAGAATTCTGGATCAGCTAAGTGGGGCCTGGGTTTACAGTTCCTATCGACCTGAGATGTGGAAATGATTCCTATCCAGGTAAAAGAACCACATTTTAAAGGTGAACTTTATTTCAATCCAAATGTTTGATGAAAAGCCTGTTCCCTGTTCCATACAAGGGGGCTCGTTCACTCACTCCCACGGACTCTCTCTACTCCAGGCAGCAACTCAGGAATCATGGCTCAGGATTCAGAATAGTCTGTTAAATGCCACTTATAAACAAAATGGCTATTGGTGGAGAACTACGAAACGGTGTTAGCATTTTAGATTTTAGTTGCACCTAATTTTAAGACAGAGAAAAGTGTCTGCAATGTAAGCACTTGAAAACCAAGTGAGCAAAATACCAAGAGTCTTGCTATGGGAAGTGCCCAGCCCTGCCTGGCTCGACGCAGAAACAAGAGTACTCAGAAAGCTCAGGAGTGCGAAGATGCAGACAGTTATGATTTTATTTGTTAATTCACATAGCCAAAAAGTCACTTTACAGAAGCAAAACACATCTCCATTTTAGAAAATCCTTTCCGTTTTTTTAAATCTAAGGCCCCCTCTAGTGTTGAAAAGAGTCCCAGGCACATTCTGCAACAGAAGGCAGTGAGTTTCACCCCAGACCTTCCAAAACAAAAAGAATATTTCTGTTCCGTTCATGTGGCACGAAAATCAATGAGAGAAAATGTCTAACCACAATTAATATTTCAGATTCCTGCTATGATTCACACTCTCATTATTCTCTCATTCAGTAATTTCTTCCTTTGTTACTTACTGCTAGATTGTTTTTAGACAATAAATACCTTTGTCGACCAAGGGGGGTAAAAACATATAATTTGTGTAGGGACTTTAATTTCCCAAATGGGAAATATACCTCCTTGAAAATAACAGAAAATTAATTTAATGTCACTAAAGCCTATTCTGCTTTTATGAAAGTACTGGGTAAGTGGTATGTACTTCCTAAAGTATACAGTTTTAGTACGTATATTTTAAGACCCACCTAATCTGCGAATTTTCTAATAAACCTTTTCAGTACCCTATAAAAAGGAGGTGAAAAGCATAGCTTTGAGGTCTAACGCTGGCTCTGAAGAAAGGAATTCTTAGTTTATTCACACATGGCACTACAGAAATCCAATGACTTAATCTCATGTAATTTTCAAAAAGGTTGATTCAAATTGGGGGCAGTAAAAAACAGAGGTTTTCACTTTTTTGCAGTTAAAGCCTTTGTGTTTGTTTCTATGTTATATTAAAGAGGGTGTGAATGAAGAATTAGTATTACTAGTAACTGAAAAATAAAAAAAATAAATCTTTTCAGTAAAAACAGTATAATCTTGAGCAGGAGACAGAGAAGAACTCTGTAAGCTATTACTTTAAATTTTTTTAGAAGAAAGCATAAAACTTGAACATTTAATAGTACTTAAAATAAGTTTAATTATATCAGTTTTATTTCAATAAACAACTATTTGTCTTTTCATAGATCACTGCTTCTCTGCTTTGATCCTGCTTTCTGTTTTCACACCTGGTGCTTTGCAAATGTTACAGAACTTAAAACACAGATCACTGAAAATGAGCTATCGAACTGGTGACATTTACAACTGGTCTCAGCTTTTAGATAACTATATTCAAATCAAAAGGACATAGCATTTGACAAGTGCAGCATATACTTTTTTGGCTCACCATGAAGAACGATGTAACTGGAAATTATACGAGTCATTTCTCCTAGAACAAACTTAGTGAAAAGCTGCTTTTAAAGTTAGCCATGAAACTGAAAATTATGATAAACACTGAAAAGTCATTTAAAATAAGTTCATAAAATGCAATTACAAATAAAAGCAGAAGGGGAGAGACAGCACTAAGGCAAATAAAAGCAAATAAATACTGTACAATAACATACAAAAATGTCTTTATAAAAATTGAAAATTGCATTTAAAAGATCTCTTTTCCCTGACTTTGGGGGTATTTCACAGAATTTAAATTTTATACCTAGATTCTAAAATGACTCCCCAAGTGTTATTAATTACTGGCATTGTTTTTTGCCAAAACCTCTCTAATCTGTCGGTCGAGTTCACTTATGATTCGATCTTCGTGATTATACACACCCGTCCTCATCAAAGTATCCCTTTCTTCTATTAGGCGAGTCAAGTAATCGTCCAAGCCTTCTTCCAGGGCGCTGCTATGTGGGCCCTCCGTTTTTCCACTCGCAATCTCTCTGGAATCTGGGTACTGTTTTTGTTCTTGTTGCCTTAACCTGGAAGTCGAGAACAAATCCTGCTCTAGCAAGCAACAAAAGCTGTTTTGGTTTTCTTAACACCACTATTTCAAAACAAAATGATTTAATGGTAGAATTCGTTTTGAGTAATATTTTTAGAAAGGAAACAACCACCAGTGTTCCACTCCGTTAGCCAGAATTAGCACACTTTAAAAAGGCAGTGTTAAAAACAATACTTGTTTTTTGAATTACAAATAAAATACGTGAAAACTAGAATGTTTGGGTATGTGTAAAAATGGAAAAAAACCCACCAGAGTAATTTTTGTATTTCTTTTCATATATAATGCCTGTGTTTTAAAAACATGTACTTTTCTAAAATATATGCAATACCCTGTGCTGTTTTCTTCACTTATTAATGTAATGAGTGTTTTCCCACATCATTGTTTTTCCGAATGGTTGCCAACACTGCATCATTTTGTTTTACCATTAATCATCCTTTATTGTTCTTAGGTTGTTATTAAATCTCCAGCCTTGCTCTGTACATATAATTTTCTTCTAAATTCACTCACTAGGTATTAATTTACACCAGAGCTAGGTTTTGAAATAATATTGTGAATCTAGAATAAAAATGTCGCTACTACTATGGAACTCATATCTCTTATTTGTAGAGAGTGAAATTCTATAAATGTGGATATCTATTTAAAAGGACCAGCACGTTTCAGAGTTCTACATTGAACCTTGCAAGCTAAGTTTGTGATCTCAACTAGGACCTGAAAGAAAAAAAACTGGTAGCAATCTGGGACTAGGCTCTTTCTCAGGAATTATTGTCAATCATATTGGTCCTTGAAAACTGAAAGAGTCTGAATGATAAACATGAGGTTCTATTAAACTCATTTTAATTGAATTTATGGCGAACCAATAAGAGGATTTAATATCCCTCTAAGTAACTGGCTACTAAAAAAGGTTCTAATTTGCAACTACTCTTAAATGTTGTCTTCATAAGTAAGGTGAAGCGGTTGAATCTAAGTCCCTGCTTCTAAATGGTCTTCAGCGTAAGAAGTCTGTGAGAACCTAACCAACTGCTGATTGTGCCCGTGGTGGGTTTGAGCCAGTGAAAAGTCCCACCTTGACACATACAGGTGGGGCCAAAAAGAGTGCAAGACTGTTTTGTTTGTTTATATGACCTTGAATTGGTAAATACTTCCCATGAGACACCGAAGTATACAGAGAGGACATTAAAGAACATCTCCAGGGGCTGGAGCAATAGCACAGCGGGTAGGGCATTTGCCTTGCATGCGGCCAACCCGGGTTCGATTCCCAGCATCCCATATGGTCCCCTGAGCACCGCCCAGGGGTGATTCCTGAGTGCAGAGCCAGGAGTAACCCCTGTGCATAGCCAGGTATGACCCAAAAAGCAAAAAAAAAAAAATCTCCAAAGGGACGACTAAGGGACAGCGATCAATGGAAATAACCATTCTGGAAAAGAACTGAGTGATACACCTTTCAGTAACGTATTGCAACCCACAGTGTCTAAAAGAAGGGAGGAAGGGAGAGAGAAAGAGGAAGGGGAGAGAGGGAGAGGGAGGCCACCACAGAGGCAGGCTGGGGCAGGGGAGTGGAAAGGGGGGAACGAGGGAAACTGGGGACATTGGAGGCAGGGAACATTGCATGACTGAAATGCAATCATGATTAACTTTGTAATTGTGTATTTCACAGTGATTCAAAAAAAAGAAAAGAAAAATGAAAACATATTAGCCATGCCAAAAAAGAAAAAAAGAAAAAAATCTCTGCTATTCCAAGAAGAAAGTCTAAAGAGTGGAATTGTGTGCTTTGAAAAAGAGGTGGAGTGAGTGGTTAGTGCGGATACTGGAACTAAGCACTTATGTGGAAGGGTAAGAAGGGTTTCCAGGTAGTTGTCTTTTCTACCCTAATTCTTAAAGCTGTCTCAGAAAGAGGTCTGGAGCAATAGCACAGCGGGTAGGCCGTTTGTCTTGCATGCGGCCAACCCGGGTTCGATTCCTCTGTCCCTCTTGGAGAGCCAGGCAAACTACCAAGAGTATCCAGTCTACACAGCAGAGCCTGGCAAGCTTCCCGTGGCATATTTAATATGTAACAACAAGTCTCACAATGGAGATGTTACTGGTGCCCACTCGAGCAAATCGGGAGGCCAGTGCTACAGTGCTACAGTCTTAGAAATAGATTCCCTCAGTTTGTCATTCAGTGACAAACGATAAACTAGAAAGTTCAAGTAGTTCCCTGTTTCATGTGTGTGTGAGAGAGACAAATGGGAATTTTACACAACTGATAATTACAACAAATCTTTGCTAAAATGTAAAACATCAGTCATAACAGGATTGCAGGACTCTGCAGCTACAGAAGCCCACCAAGCAATCACAGAAAACTTCTCCCTTGACAAATGCTGTTTGGACTCCTTGAAGTACACTTCCTGTCACTAGGAACTTATATTTGTAGAACTCCTGTTAAAAAGTTCTTTCTTATATTCAACTCAGCCTGTGTTCTTATACATTCCAATAACTGGCCATGATTCTGCAGAAAAGGATAACTTCTTAATACAGTAGTCCTTCAGATATTTGAAGACAGCTATTTAATATTTTGCCTCAACTTCTCAAGTTCAATATCCCTCACTTTACTTTTTGCTCACATTCAGTAGAAGCTCCCTAGGCAGCTGATTTCCTTCAAGGTTCTTTATACTTTGGTAAGAATATTCCAGAAGTGATTTTCAGTGCTGAGTACTGAATACTAGTTCACTTAAGCCTCTAACTACACTGACTTTGGGAAGCCAAGTTATACTTTATTGGCGTCTATTTAAATCCTTCTAGATGTCTCATGAACTTTATGTAAGAAATATCACTTAAGATTATTCTTATTATTATTCTTATATTTATAAGAAACATGCTTGTTTTAATCTAGTAGATCTCGCTGGTTTTAAATCTTTCTGAATCCCAATTTATATTGATAAAATAGAATTTTATGACATAAATTTTGATCGTCAAAATTTAAGCCACCAAAATAGTAGTAGCAAACAGCAGAGGTTAAATATATATAAAACTGAAACAAAAAGTGTTATATACACGTAACAGCAAACTTTGCAGGTGCTTGCCTTGCCTGAGGCCAACCTGGGTTTGATCCTCAGCACCCACTATAGCATCCTAAGTTCTCCAGGAGTAGTACCTGAGCACAGAGCCATGAGTAAGGCCTGAGCTCTGCCAAATGTGGTCCAAGAAACAAACAAAATATATTGGCTGAAGCCAATATAAATATTAATCTTCAGTGTTTTCATCTCTAAAGAGAGGATCAAATCTTCCTCAAAAATCTGCTCTGAAGATTTAGAAAATGAGTTGTCACTGTCACTGTTCTCCCGTTGTTCATCGATTTGCTTGAGTGGGTGCAGTAAGGTCTCCATTGTGACACTTGTTACTGTGTTTGGCATATCGAATACATCCCGGGGAGCTTGCCAGGCTTTGCCGTGCGGGCGAGATACTCTCGGTAGCTTGCCAGGCTCTCCGAGAGGGGCGGAGGAATCGAACTTAGGTCGGTCATATTGGCTGCGTGCAAGGCAAATGCCCTACCCACTGTGCTATCACGCCAGCCCAGAAAATGAGTTAGATTCAGAAAAAGACATTACCTATAGTTCACACAAAGTAAGGGCTCAATAGGTTAACAATTATTCCACTGTTAATAGAACATGAAGTAAATTTTTTTATATATTTTTTTTTGCTTTTTGGGTCACACCCGGCGATGCACAGGGGTCACTCCTGGCTCATGCACTCAGGAATTACCCCTGGCGGTGCTCAGGGGACCATATGGGATGCTGGGAATCGAACCCGGGTCGATCGAGTCCAACGCAAACGCCCCACCCGCTGTGCTATCACTCCAGCCCAATTTTTTTGTATTTAATTAAAAATTCTGTATAATCAATTATCTTAAAATAAGCAATTCTGAAAGTCACATATAAATAAAAATTTTAACTTTATTACAATCTTTTTTTTTTCCCTCTCTTTGGGTCACACCCGGCGATGCTCAGGAGTTCCTCCTGGCTCTGCACTCAGGAATCACTCCTGGTGGTGCTCGGGGGACCATATGGTATGCTGGGAATCAAACCAGGATCAGCCATGTGCAAGGCAAATGCTCTATCCACTGTGCTATGATTCCAGTCCCAAATTTATTACATTCTTAGCCTTTTACATAAAAGATACAGTTGGTTCAAGGCAAAAAAAAAAAATAACAATAAGTTTAATGGCCTTTGGCACAAATTCTTTAACATAACCTACTCTATTCTTAAGAAATATGAGGTAGTTTCTCTGCCCCAACTATTTAAAGGTTGTCATATTAGAATTTATTTCGCTGTGAAAAATGTTTTAGTTACCTGTTCAGTTCATTTCTTATATCCAACAACTCTTGTCGCTCGGTTTTCAGAGTATCTTTCTCCTCCGCAGCCAAGTACCGTAGTCTCATCTGTTCTAACTCTTCTTGCTGTTTTTTAAGACGAGCCATTTGACTTTCCTGTTCCCTCTTGAAAAAAATAAAGCAAATGCCTAGTATTAGGAATCAGTATATTTCATGTGACTTTTTCTTTTGATTATAATTCTTTTACAGTACTAATGACATTCACTGCCACTCTATAAGTCACAATCATCTAAATACTCTTGAGTTCTCTTTAAAAATTTCTCTGATTAGTTTTTGTTATGAGCTATAATCACTCATGACCCAATCAGTGATGGAGGTAACTTCTATTGAGGATTGAAATTGAAGACAAGGAAGAGTCTGCTGCCAGGCCAGAGTACAGTGGGTTGGGATAGCCTTGCATGCGGCTGACCAGGGTTCGATCCCTGGCATCAAAAAGGGTTCCTGCCATGTATGACCCCTGAGCACAGAACCAGGAGTAAGTCCTAAGCCCCCTGAGGTGTGCTCCCATCCCTCCCCCATACCCCCAGAAAAAGCCCACTGCCTAATTGGTTGCTACAGCAGCACCAGTAAGAGCAGCCTCCAAGAAAGGTTAATTATAATGATGTACTAAGAAAAACAGTAACCGTCCCTGCCGTGGCACTAATTCCACTCCTAGGAGTGGAAGGAAGTAATAAGTCCTCTACTCTTCTCCAGAACTGCGTAACAATCTATGAACAGATAAAACTATTTCTTTATAAACCACACACTGGTAATTGAGTGATCTTTTCAACCACTGTAACGGGCACTTTGTCACTGTATAACATCGCTGCAATGAGACAAGCTATTATCTAACACAGGCAGCTCCTCAGTCTGCATACATACTTCTTTAAGTATGACTACTTAATTTACAACAGAACACCCCCAAAAGAGGGCTCGATCAACAGGTATGGGTCATTTGGGGGAAAAGAAGTAACAGAAAAATCACACGTACCTTTTGATAAACTTTGACAAACTGAACCACTTATCTAAATAGCAACCAGATCAATAAATATGATTATCAGAACCCTAGAAGTCCTTGTTTCCAATCGGTCACTAACCCTGCATCTTTTCCCAAAGATAACTACAATTCTAAGTTTTAACACCAAAAACAAATTTTCTATTCTTTCCACTTTATGTAAATGGAAGTATACCGTATATATTACTTTAGGTCTGGCTTCTTTCCATTAACAGTTTTTCAGATGCATCCATATTATGTGTGGCTGATGATTCACATTACATGGAACATTCCACTGGATGAATATACAATTTATTCATTCCATTGCCAATGGACTACTTTGCGTTATTAGTTATCCAGTTTTATACAGTTTATGTGGTTATCATTATAACATGCCTTTTGAGGTACTTATTTGTATGCATTTCTATGGCCTATATCTAAGATTCACTGCTGGGTCACAGGGTTATAAAATTTTAACATCAGTAAATATTTTCAGTATTCAAAGTAATAATACTAATTGATAATGCCAAGTAATTATACATTTTAAACCCTCAAGACACTATAATTGTTTTTCAAAACCATATATAATGTAAAATATAAAATGTATCTTATATATAATAAAATTTAAATATAATACACAACATAATCATATAATAATCGTAATTTAATATATAATTGTTATACAATTGTTATATATAATTATATATTATAATTATTTATAATTGTAAATAATAGCACTGTTCTCCCATTGTTCATGGATTTGCTTGAGTGGGCACCAGTAACGTCTCACATCAAACTGTGAGATTTGTTGTTACTGTTTTTGGCATATTGAATATGTCACAGGGAGCTTGCCAGACTTTTGCGGTGCGGGCGAGATACTCTCGATAGCTAGCCAGGCTCTCCGAGAGGAGCCGAGAAATCGAACCCAGGTCAGCTGCCTTCAAGGCAAACACCTATCTGCTGTGTTATCACTTCAGTCCGTAAATAATATATTAATATATTTGTATTGCTATTAACAATTATTTATATTGTTTCTCATTCTCATTTTTTCATTTGTGATCATTTTGTTTTGGCCTGAAAAACATCTTTATTTCAGGTTTTCTATGACAAATTCACAGAATCCTTGAATCTATATATTGATGACCTTCTCACTTTTATAAAATTCTAAGCCAGTATCTTTTCCCAATATCACTTTCTCCTCTGTGACTCCTCCTGAGGGATGACCATAGGCTGATTGTTTATGTCTCAAATGTTGAATAAAACTCTAATGTTGAAACCCAATCCCCAAGGAGTTCAAAGGTGATAGGTCAAGAGGGACAGTCCTGGTGAATGTGAGGACTGCCCTTTGCCCTTTCAAAAGACAGAGCTCCCTAGTTCTTTCTGCCATATAAGGACACAATAAAACATAGCTGCTTATGAAATGGGAAACAGGCCCTCCTAACCATGGATTGCCTTAAACTTGAACTTCCAGCTTCCAAGATTATGAGAAACAAAGTTTCTGTTGATTATTGTAATAGCCATCTGTTCTAACAACTGAATTGAGACAGAGTCTCATAGTATGATGCTCTGACATCTCACTTCTGTCTTTTACTTCTATTTTCTATCTTATTTTGTAGTTTTTAAGTTGACTTTCAGTTCACACATTCATTCTCCTGATGTGTAACCTGCTGTTGGTTCAACTGTCACTTGCAGGGCTTTTCAGTTCCAGAATTTCTACAGTTCAAAAGATTTCACTTCTCTAATACTTTCACCATCATCTATTTTCTAGAGTACAGTGACAACAGTTGTTTCAAATTCTGTGACTGGGTCAAAATATAGAGTATCTGATCTGTTGCTCTGTTTCTACTGAGCAAAAGATATTCCACAGTAGAAACTGCCAGTGGCCAAGAAGCATATGAAAAGATGCTCAACATTGTCTTATTACATAAGAAAATTTGGGGCGGGGGAGATGTTCACTAAAGCAATCAATGGATTTTGGTATATTCAAATGTTTAAGCTTTAAACATTTAAGTTTTAAACAATGAAGACATAGCTGAATCTCAACATCAATAAGATCATAGAAAAGTGATTCCATGTATATAGTTTAAAAATATATAAAAATATATGCTAATAAGTTATCAGTGTTTTAATAGTCCTAAAACTTTTGAAGAAAAACAAGGGAATATTACAGAGCAAATTCAAAGAAAGAGGCTCCTCTGGCAGGAATTCAAGTGAGGAAAAAACACACAGAAGGCTCCTAAAGTACAGAGAGGAAACTGTTTATTAAATTCAAACGTGGGGCTTGGAATATGTTTGAGAATTCTCAGTGGGAGGGAGGAGAAGAATCCAAATCTAGTCATGGAAAAAAAGGGTATCAGTACTTTTTATATTGCTATGTGGTACCACAAAATTTGTATTTTTTTCCCCCAAACATGGAGCAAGTATAATTGCAAGCAGAAAAAGAAAAATCATTATTTAACCTTCAGTTACTTTGTAAAACTGTGTACTTATAAAACTAAAGAAATGCACATTCTAAAGCTCAGTAAAGTCTTAAATTTAAATGTAATAGACAACATTAATAATAATCACATAGGCATGCACGAAAAATAGAGGTTCATGAAAACCATCCTCTCTGCTGCCAGGTGCTCTGGGTTAAAGGCTCCTTAATCAAGTGAGTATAATCTTTATTTTGCCTTGACTGCCTATAAATCCAGAGAGGAGATGTAAACATACATACACTAGACTAAACAACGGCTAAAAAGTGGCCACTACTTACTCTCCCACTCACACATACCATGTAAGTCTGTGGGAAAAAACTTACAACAAAACTAAGGAACTCAAGTAAAGTTTTCTGAAAATAACCCAGAGCTGACAAGTCAGTAGGAGGGCCTGGATGGTTTCAAGACACAGTTTTTAACCAAGACTTGGACCTCCAACTGTTTTCTTAAACAAAGATTTACATCCCATCCTTGGCTAAATTACTTATAAATTAATCAAATTAATTACTCTGAGTGGATAAGCAGGAGGCTGGACAAGATAGTGCTGATGTCAGCCAATGAAGTCTGTGTTGTTTTAACTAAATATATCAGCTTAGTTTTAAACAGATCTACTGTGCACAAATATGGTAAGGGACCCACATCCTACCAAAATCTGAGCTCTGCTTCCTGTCTTGGGACCAAGCATACCTAGTTTTAATATATCTGACATAATAAAAATGTTAGACTTTCCGCAAACACATCAAACCTCTTACCAATGATTCATTTATTTTTTAAAAAATCTAGTAGCTTTTATGCTTCCTACATACCTATAGTCTAATGTGTAAAAAAAATTTTTTTAAATATATTACTTAGAACAACACAACAATCCTAAGTTGGGTATTTGTACATTATGTCAAGTATGTTTTGATTTAAATAGTTCTATGATGTATTCTCATGGACTTGGGTAAAGAAGGAAACAAAAGCTCCCCTGCTGTCCCTAGCAAGTAGAGCTTTGGAGTTAGAGTTGCACATTTTACCAAAGATACTAAATCCAGTATGGGCATCATGTCCATGATTTCTGAATCAGGATCCACTCTGCATCACCAAACCACAAAAAGTTTACAACTTGAAAACAAGAGACTTTTATGGTTGTTAGTCAAAAGAGAAGTTTTCTAAATAATTAGAAGATTATGATTTTTTAATTCAAAAATTGACCAGACTAGGTCACCTTTGAGTAATGGAAATCTCTGTTTAAACATTCTTTTGGCAACAGGCACCAAGCATTAGATCTTATTTCCAAGCTTTACCAGCTGGGTTTTGTCATTAACATTTATTAACAATCTAAGATATGGCTTTTGCCGTCTAATCTGTACTACACAAATGTTTTGTATGGCCCTCCAGAGGATTTTGCTGTGACAAATTACTGGCAGAGATTATAGCCCCGTGGCTATTCACCAGAGGCAATGTAAAATTAACATGGTACTAATCCAATTTAAACAAAAGTTGCACAAACAATCCCTTGAACAAAAGCAGATAGAGGATTACAGTTTTATATTCGAACACAATAATGTGTTTTTCATGAAATTTTAGGGAAAAAATTGAAGTAATTTTCACATATAAGAACTGTACCAATTTGATGGAGTTATTAATTTTGATCTTTCTAAAACAGTGGCAGAAAGCAATTTACTATAATAATCCCAAGGTCTATTACATTTCTTCTTTAAAGTGCTGGATTTCAAATATGTCTGCAAAACATCAGTGATTCCCAGTGATCTAGAAATATGTTTACAATGTTTCTAAAGTGGAAAGTTTGTGGAATAAAGAAATAAAATTGGTCTACAATGAAGTTTAGTCAGAATTACATTTTCTTTCATGTAGAAATGTGAGTTGAGTCACTGATTTAACACTAGGTTTTTTTTCCTTAACAGACAACAATAACAGAAAAAGTCTGAACTTGTGAGATATCCTCTCTGTTATTAGGATCAAAAATGTTCAAAATGCCAAAGCTTTTTGGACAAGAAAATACACTAAAAGGATACATAAATTTAAAAAAATGGATTATGTAAAAAGAACTATAATATAGCACAGCTCTATGAGGATACATAGGAGAGTGGGAGACCACCTCAATGTCACTGTGTAGCACTAACAGTGAGCTGTGAACTTGGGGAATTATACCCAAGACTTTATGTCTTTACTTATATTTAAAACTCACCTCAAACAGTGAAAACATTGTCATCTATCAATGTACACATTTAAACATAAGTTAAATGATTTTTTAAGAGTTCTTGAATGGTTCTTGGTAAGAAACATGACAATTATAATGAAATATGTTTCAATAATTGCTGATTAGGGCATTTCCTTTGGAGAAATAAGTAACAGCTAATACTTTCTATCTTTACTGCCACATAACTAATTACCATTGCATTAGTCCCTAATCATTCACTATGCAATTTCTTCACCATCCCTTAACTTTCAGTGACAAAATACGTCACCATGGTGTCCTTTTTAATAACTGTTTAATAATTGTTAGTGTTTTCGCTAACTATAATTGCATTTCTCACTACTGCCATAGTCTCATTAATGTCAGTTTTTCCAGCTGATTTCTGGGTCCCTGATGGTTGAAACTGTTAGACCCAGTGCATGAACCCCTGCGCACTGTTTGTGGTAGGTTTTCAGCAAGTACTAGAATGAGTGAATCAAATAGCTAGAGATGTTTCTTTAGACTTAAAGAATACACTCTCGAATTTCTTTATTTTTTCACCCAAATGTACGGAGTTTACCTCCCAATACTTTTGCAGATCAACAGCCCTTAAATTATTTTTTCCCTCTATGGAACACCTATAGCTGCTTCAATAGAACACCTATTAAAAACACCATCCAGTTACAAAGTAGTTATCACTCAAACTATATCCTACTCTAAAAGTCCCTACTGCTACCACTATGTAACATCTGCCAATCGTTCGGACATATAACAATGTTTAATTGTTGGTACCTATCGTTCCTCTGAGTAACTAGTCACAAATCCTTGCAATATTTGTTCTGTTTATCAGTATCCAAAGCTACCACCTAATTAGGTCCCTACTGATAGACACCAAGAACCTGACACACAATAGCTTTATGATTCATATTCTTTTAACAGTAGTTACCATACATTGAGCACATAATATATACCAAACACTATTAAATGTTCATAAATCAGTCATTTAAATTCTTGGAACAACCTGTGAGGAATATTCTTTTCGCTATACGAACGAGGAGATTAAATCAGAGAAATTCATTTACCTAAGACATAGTAGTATGGAGGGCAGGGCTGAGATTCAGCCTAGCTCTCTTACTCTGGGAGTCTGTTTCAAAACTGCCATGTATACTACCTGATATCATATGGTACCTTTGTCTTCAAGAGCAACTCTCATGCCATTCATCCATTACTGGCTTCTATGAGCATTATAACCTTTACATTCTGAAGGGAAAGCCTAATCAAACAATACTATACTTAGTATCTAAGGATCTGGTTATGATTATGAAGAGCTAGAACAGACACCTGACACTGATATGTCAGCACCGTTACCATCATCTTTCCCTCTATTGCCCTCTTTCTTCTTAAATGCGTAAATTCTAAGTTCTAGCTGCCATGGATTCATGGAATCCTTCAAGGAATCCACGAAGGATTCCTTTATCGTGTTTAAGCCCAATCATTCTTCAACCACTAGATTCACCTTTAGAACTGCTTGCTCAATTTCTGTAAAAATCAAACCACACAAATTTCTAAGCTCTACCTCTTTCCCATACTCCAATCAGCTTCTAGTCTTAATGACAGTGTTTCTGATGTGGAAACTCTCCTTCCAGATACACAGGCTTGAGCTCCAGGCACCAGTCCACCAAGCCTATGTCCTTTAAAAGAATCTCTTTGTCATACCCACCACACAAAATTCAGACTTTAGTATCTGAAATGACCTCTCAAGTGGGCCTGCTTTTGTTTTCCAAGTACAGGTTAGACTCTCTGGTTTCACAAATCTTTGCTACTATGACTAATCCTTGCTTTTCCTAAATCACACCAAAGGTCTTCCCCACCCAACTGATTCCTCCTCTGGGAAGGCCTCTTCCCTAACTCCTATTATGCAGATAGGCTTGCTTTCCTCTTCAGGCTCTCCAGGGATCGCTATTAGCAGGACACATTAGATTTATAGCTGTGTCTTCCACAAGACTAAACTGTAAGTTCCCTGAGGGAAAGGCCTGTGTTTAACTTGTATCTACAAATCTAGTGCCATTTCTTGAATGGAGGAGGTACTCAGTTCTATGTGTTACTCATTTACTCTCAGTCCTGTGAGCATTTATAAATTCGTTCTATGTAGTATCTTTGTATACTTTCTGTCTCAACTCATTTATAAGTTACATTAAGGCAAATGGGTACCACTTTCAAATTCTCATTACAATCTAGTACATACACCTCTGAGAAAATAGTAAACATTTACTGAAAAATGAAAACAATGCTTAATACCACCTGATGATTATGGAGACATTTTTTAAAATGCAAATTTGAAAGATTATGTGCCAAACTTCAGTCAAGTACATTAGATTAAAGACAACACTCTTGTTCGTATTTTATTTTTCAATCTTAACCAGGAAATTACACCCCAAATTAAGATTAACTTCCTTGTCAGGGAGCTAATAGGATTTGTTATCAAGTACAAGGAAGGAGGAGAAAATGTAACAAAAAGAATCTGGAAAACAATTATCACTTTAAAATTGTGAAAATTCAAAAAATTCCTTGATACTCCCCAAAATCATATATTAGGCTTTTGTTTCTTTGTTGGGGAAGCAAGTGGGGGGAAGGAGGTGTTTGGGCTACTCCCTGCAGTGAGCTCAAGGTTACTGGAGATGAAACCCAGGCCTCCCTTGTGTCCTTTTTTTAAAATTATTTTTTAATTGAGGATATGTTAAATTTAGGTTTCAACATTCATAACGAAAAGAAATTAATATTGCAATACTGAGAGGAAAACTAGTAGTTTTAAAAGTGAAAGTAAAAAAATAATTCCTAAATTTTTCTGGGAAAGAAAGTACTGGCAACTAAAGAAAGGGGCGACAAAAGCCTGGGAATTTGTTTTTGCAATTCATTTTGGTGGGTTTGTTATATTTTTGCTTTGGGGCTAAACCCAGTTGTGCTGAGGTGACTATATGTGGTGCCAGGGACTAAACCCGGGTCAGCTTCCTGCAAAGCAAACTAGCACCTTGCCTACTATACTACCTCCAGCCCTGAAAGGTTATTTTACATAATGAAAAATATACAACACATTAAAGTGAAAAGAAAAAAACCTCTTCGGAAAAGTAGCACTGGTGATTTAAATGCAGACATTTGAATCTAAAAGATATTGCCAAATATGCAAACTTGTAAAGAATCAAGGGAAAAAAGAGGAATAATCCATCATCAGTTATAAACTACATACCTGTTTAAGTCTGGCAAGTTCTTTCAAAGCTCGTCCCCATTGCTGCTTGTAATGTAGTTTAGACTTAGTTGCAGATTCCAACTTTCTTTCAAGTTCAACCTAACAGTGATTAAAATCATATCAAGTGAAACACTATCCCACTGTGTACAATCACTGAAAGATAATATATACAAAGAGTCTGGCTTAAGAAAAGAGTTTATGTAGTGTAACATACGACATCATCTAAAACTGTTATATAATTTACTATAAATATTATGGCACATGAACATTTTCTTGTTTAAAATATAGTTGTATTTCTATTGCCTAACAGCCTTCGCTAAAAAGACTGTATTAGTCTTACACTCCAGACAGTTACTATAAATGTATTTAAAACATGCATATTACATAAAGATCACAGAAAGAAAAATACGTTCATTTTTTACTGAAAACATTTCTAACTGTTAGCATTCCGATTTAGCTGGCACTCTGAAAACTCAAATTATTCTTTTTGGAGGCATATCATTTTGTGGAATTTCGTTTTAAGTGAAAAGCTAGTGGGAATACTTTCATAACTTTATTTTGGAAAAAAAATCATAGAATGCTGGAAATAGGGAAATGCTTTATCAGAAAGCAATTTACTAAGAGTAAAGAGTCGAAAGTATTTTAAGACTGTTAAAAGTAAATCAAGAATAAGAAAAATAATTTTATTTTTTACTTTTTATTTTGTCTCAAATAAATGAAAACACAAAAGTGATTCAATTTTAAAAAATGGTTATTTATACTTGCAGCAGGCAATCTGTTGTGCATGAACTACGGCCAATTTGGCTCTGTTTAGGAATGCACTCTCTCAATGTTTCAAACAAAGCACCAAACAGATCCAAGCAGCCAACAGGCAGTTTTACTATTTAAGTGATAATATAATAATGTGCCTGAATTACAGTAAAATGCTGCTAGTCTAAACTGATCTAATTTTTTTATGTCAAGTCTAGTTTTTTCCAGATACACAACTCAATATTTTTCAGGAAAATTAAACCGAAGACACTATCCAAAGATTCAAACTTCAGAAAATTACTGTGAAAGGAAAAGTGGCTTGCCAAATTTCCTTCACAAAAGACTAGAATATTCTCTGCAGTAATATATGACTTCATAAAATTAAGATCTTTTCTGTTTTACAATTCCCCTGTGCCTGGGTTTCAAATGTGTTGACATTTCACAACTAAGACACAGATCTTAAATAAAATGATACTCATATTCTGAGCTTATCAAAGATTATCTTTTCCACTTTTACCCCTAAAATCTACACATACGGGTAATTCAACAATAACAATATGACAGAGTAATAGAAAAAAATCTTTTTATAGCTGTGAGATAAAGGAAGTGTGCAGTCATGAAGGTGATCATGTTTATGGATCCTGGAGATGGTCTGGGACCTTGGGTAAGCTTCAAAATACTGTTTCTACCCAACAGATTGGCTCTATCAGAAGGTTATACTATCACTATCACTATCCTCCCATTGTCCATCAATTTGCTCAAGCGGGCCCAGTAACGTCTCCATTGTGACTATTGTTACTGTGTTTGGCATATTGAATACGTCAAGAGGAGCTTGCCAGGCTTTGCCATGCAGGCGAGATACTCTCTATAGCTTGACGGGCTCTCCGAGAGGGGCGAAGGAATCGAACTCGGGTCGGCCATGTTGGCTGCATGCAAGGCAAACGCCCTACCCGCTGTGCTATCGCTCATATACTTAAATATATACATATATAAACTATTAGTTTCAACAGGTATTTAAAAAAAAAGGATAGCTAGCAAATGTGAGATACAAATCTAATTTATTCCTATTACCCAATCAATGATTAACTTTTTCAAAGATACAGTTGCCTCTGTAATTCTAAGGAAAGCTATCAACCAGTTCCCAGAGAAATGTAAACAGTTTTTATATCATTCTAGGTACTGAATGACTTTGAGTTAAAGTCTTTAGGTAGATTTGAGACTTCGGAAAGACTTGTCCTTGTATTTGCAATTCAATTTTATTGGTCTTTGGCAATTAAATATCATAGAGCAAGTTATAAACTCCTGAAATGAAAATTAACTTCAGGACATACAGCTAATTCAGAGGCTAGAAAAGCTGAAGAGCAGAGACCAATGAATATTACTCTTTAATTTCCATTTCTTCCCTCCAGATGTCCACAATTATTGTTCTCCATGGAATTACGACTTTGTCAGGACCGGAATAATACAGTACAATGGGTAGGGGGTTTGCCTTGCACGTAGCCAACCCATGTTAGGTCCCCAGCATCCTGTATAGTTCCCTGAGCACTGCAAGGAGTGATTCCTGAATGAAGAGTCAGGAGTTAAGTCCTGAACATCACTGGGTGTAGCCCAAAAACCAAAAGAGAGGGAAAGAGAGAGAAATATGCCATTGTCTTTTCTTGAATCCCTTTTTTCAACAGAACTCACTGGCACAAAGAATTCTGGATTTCCACTTTCAATGTTTTGCTGTTTGATTCTTTTCTATTCCTATTTCACTTCCTTAGCTCTGACTCTTCCTGACTTCTCTTGTCACCTTAGCCTTATCTAATCTATCCACAAACCTATAAAACAGAATTAGGTGAAACCATTCTTGAGTAGGAAGTCTACAGTCCTGAGCCAACTTTTCCCTCCTATATTTCAAGACACCTCCGAACATGATTTCTTTCCTTCCTGCTCAAAGTACAAATGATTGCTATGTCTGAGTCAAAGTTTCTATCCCATTCCCCAATCTAATTATACCTGGTTGCTTAAGGGTAATCATTTTCCAGTTTATTAAATACTTAAAATGAGCCTTGCCCCCCCCTTAAAGGATAATGTAACTCTTCTTATCTCACTTCCCCCCATTGTCAAAGTATATTTTGGGTACAGGGAGCTATCAAATATTCTTAAATATGTGCATTTTAGCTATTCTCTCTAGCCTACTAAGTTATAATCTCATATAAATGTCCTAACTATTTTTAAGACATTTTACAGCTAAAAGAAAATTACAAGCAACCATTCACCACTTTCATAATAAAGGGTATCAGGATGTGTCTTATTTTGAGACTTTTCAGGAAAAATGGAAATTACTAAAATCAGAAAGAAAAAGTTCATACACTTAAACTAGACACTTTTGCTTTTAGGTACTTTGACCTCTTACTGAAGAAAATAGATTCTGCCCTCTCCTGGCTTCAAAAAAAATTTCAGAAATTACTTTTTGTTGTTTTGTTTTTGTGCCACACTTGGCTATACGCAGGGCTTAATCCTGATTCTGTACTTAGGGATCACTTCTGCTTGGGTTCAGGGAACCATAGGGAGGTTGGTAATCGAACCTGGGTTAGTCACGTGCAAGGCAAGTGCCTTAGCCTTACCTGCTATACTATCACTCCAGTCCAATAGAGAATTTTTTAAAAAGCTGAGAAGCCCTGGAGCTTTTAAGAAGGCTCAGGTTATAGCTCAGCAGAAAAGAATTTGCATTAGAGACCAAGCACAGCAAAAGAGAAAATTAAAACCTGGGTTGGAGAGACAGTACAGCAGGTAAGGAGTTAAGTCCTGAACATCACTGGATATGGCCCAAAAATCGAAAGAGAGAGGGAAAGAGAGAAATATGGCAATATGACATTGTCTAGTCTTTTTTAATTTTTTTGCTTTTTTGGGCCACACCCAACAATGCTCAGGACTTACTCGTGGATCTGCACTCAAGAATTACTCCTGACGGTTCTTGGAGCGACCATATGGGATGCTGGGAATCAAACCTGGGTTGGCCCCATGCAGGGTAAATGCCCTACCCGCTGTGCTATCAATCACGCCGGCCCCCATTCTTTTTTCTTTTAAATTATTTAAATCTATTAAAGGCCCTCCCGTTGATCATCGATTTGCTCGAGCAGGCCCAGTAACGTCTCCACTGGAGACTTTGTTGTTACTGTGTTTGGCATATCGAATACGTCACGGGGAGCTTGCCAGGCTCTGCCATGCGGACGAGATACTCTCGGTAGCTTGCCGGGCTCTCTGAGAGGGGCGGAGGAATCGAACTCGGGTCGGCCATGTTGGCTGCGTGCAAGGCAAACGCCCTACCACTGTGCTATCGCTTTAATCCCTTTTTTCAGTAGAGTTCACTGGCACAAAGAATTCTGGATTTCCACTTTAAATGTCTTGCTTTAAATTCTAGATTTCCACTTTAAATGTCTCATACCCAGTTCCAGGTTCAACCGCTGGCATCCCATATGGTCTCCCAAGCAATGCCAATAGTAATTCCTGAGTACAGAGAAAGGAGAAACGCCTGGGCACCGCTGGATGGGACCCAAAATTAACTAAAGAAACAAAACCATTAAAACCCCAAAAGCCTTGTTTGAATACACTTAAACATGCTGGATGAACACATCAGGTCTATTAGAGAGTGCTCATTTACATATCCCCCAGCCAACATCACAGTATTACTTGTAAGATGATTGGTGAGTATTTTTTTGGTGAAAAGTAGTTGGAAGGTATTTTGAAACCTGCTTAAAATTAAATTCTATATATAGTCTCTAATATAATCTGTAGTAGTTTATATAGTTTGTGAGATTCAATGAGCTACTGTCCAAATAAGAGTTTGCGATATCTTTGGTTGGTATAAATTCCTATTTACAAACATCAAGAAGAAAGAGAAACATTTATCTGGATTCAAGTTCACTGCTAAAGAAACAGAGCTGTCCCGGTAAGTGAGAGAAAGTAACAGCAAGCAAGATCTGTCAACAATAACAGGGACTGCTACGGCTCCACAGGCCCATACTGTGACTCTCATCTAGCCCATTATCCCAGATGCCACTTTCTGATTATGCTTCCCTCATCATTTAGCAAAGACAGGAGTTTAAGAAACATCTCCATTCATCTACGTTACTCTTCACTATCATTTTCCAACTCAGAAATCAGACACGTTCAAGGTTTGATTCCCCCCACCCCCACACAATGGTGGCTCTATCAAAATGAAAGTCTCAAGAAAGAACCCCAAAGGAATAGACAGGTGCTCTGACTGAGAGTGCAGGCGACATGCTCCAGAGCACAACCTGCCCCTCTCCTATTCTAGCTTTCCTCCGTAATCTCGGTGCCAGGTCCCCCCTTTCCCCTGCTATCCATTCTCATCTCATGCAACGTGCTACACTTCAGGTGCTGTGACTTTCTCAGTTTATCTCCGTCAGCAACCAACCTGGGGTTGGGCTCCTTCCTCAGAGCCACCATCACAGTTTTCTCTCCAAGACTTTCCACTCACAGCTCACCCCCTTGTTCCTGACCTTTCAAACTTCTGCTTTACCTATTTTCAGTTTCAGTGAACTTTTGTGTTCTCCCAGTCCAATTAATGCCCAAATATTGATTTTTTTTTTTTTAAAGATACTGCCTTCTCAGGGCTGGAGCAATAGCATGGTGGGTAGGGCGTTTGCCTTGCATGTGCCCGACCCAGGTTCGATTCCCAACATCCCATATTGTCTCCCCAAGCACTGCCAGGAGTAACTCCTGAGTGCATGAGCCAGGAGTAACTCCTGTGCATCGCCAGGTGTGACCCAAAAAGCACAAAAAAAAAAAAAAGAACTGCCTTCTCTAGGACCTACATTCCTTTGAACCCAGGGTACTTCTGTCAATGTATCTTCACTGGGGATGCAAAAGGCCTATTCTAATCTTTCCTAAATGGTGTAATAAATCCTAAAAAATGTACAATTTGGTCTCAATTGCAGTCCTCTGGTCCATCAGAGATTTCAAAGAGAGGCCCACTGTAGTTGCTACTTTTCCCTTCCATGTTCAACAGTTCTGCACTCAGCTTTCCCTTTCCTACTTGACTGTCCTGTAGTATCTGATAGGAGCAAAGCTCGCTGCTCCTGACAAAGACCTTGAAAGTTTTTACCTAACTCCTAATCCCTCAAATTTATTTTATTTTTTAGGGGGGAGGTGTATTTTGGTAATACTCAGTGGTGCTCAGGCATTGTTCAGGGGACCATAAGGGGTACCAGGGATCAAACCTGGGTCAGACACATCAAGGCAAGCTGCCTTATTTACTGTACAATCTCTCTGGCCCAAGATTTGTTTTTTAACCCTATCAGGTTTTATTGGTCATTTTGCAGGAATTCTGTTTTCTGAAAAAGAACAGATTATTCAGGGAAATTTTTCTGTCTGATAATTTATCCTCAGCTACATGTAAGACCAGTGCCCTGCCTGCTGTCCTATCTCTCCAGGCCTAATAACTCAATTTAAGATTTTCTTTACTGGTCTTGTTCCCCAAGTTTTCCATATGCTCACTCTTGTTCTCTGTTTCATCTTTCAAACATTAACATTTCTTTCTATGCTTCAATCATCCCCTTCTCAAGCTGCAACTTCTTGCTACTAATTTTTTATCCTCAATCTAGAAGTATTCCTGCATTTTTCCTATCCTAAATAAGCTTTTCTCTGCAGTGTGAGGCCCCTGGACTCTTGTTTCTTTTCAGGAAAATTTTCTACAACCTTCCACAATTTTAATTACTTTGGGGAGCCTCTCCTCATGCTTCTCAGACACCCAGTTTAATACTAGAGCCCAAGGATGCAGTGCCACGGATTACCCAGGGCACCACCCAAGGGGCTCAAAGCATGCCCTCCACGTGGGAGGCCCCGGTTCCATCTCAGGTGCCAGGGAGCAGCTCCTGAGCACCACCAGGAGTTTCCCCCAACACCTCCCCACCCACCAAGACAAGTCTTAGCCTTCAGAGGTCTATGATTATTTTGATACTACTGCACTCATTAAACTCTACATTCTAGTTAAGCTGCTATTTCAAACATGCAATATACTTTTTTTAAGCTCTTCTAGAATGTCTCTTTGGAATAACCTCACATATTTATCTGTTTAAAACTTCACCTATCATTTTGGTTCTGTCTTCAAGTCTCACTTTGTATTCTTCAACCTAAAGTACTCTACCTTTGCATTCTAAATAGCAGAGAGACAGAGGAAAGGGGGGGGGGGGGGAGAAGAGGAGAGAGAGAGAAAGAGGAGAAAGAAGAAAAGTGCCTGCCATAGAGAGGCAAAGGTGGGGTGAGAGGGTAACTCAGAACATTGATGGTGGGAAACGTACACTGGTGAAGGATGAGTGTTGGAACATTATATGACTGAAACCCAATCATGAACAACTTTATAACTGTGTACCTCACTGTAGTTCAATTAATTTGTGTGTGTTGGGGGGGAAGCACTAAAATTATACTTGCTAGCATCTGCCTTTCTGTGTAATTATTGGGGTAACCTTTTGTCAGTAGACTACCAAAGATTTTTCATCTTTTTTTTTGTTTTTCACAAGTTCATTGTCTTATTATCATATTGTCATATTATCACAGTGTCATAATTAGCGCCGATTATGAGAAACCAGTTCTAACCAGTCAGCTCCCCATGAGCAAATCACTCTTGGGCTCTGAAACAGAAGAGCCCAAATACAGGGAACCAGTGTTACAGATGATGGAAGCAGAAGAGCAGAAATGCCAGGGGAGATGGGAGAGAAGCCCTTAGTTCCTGGGAGACGAGGGCCTATGGGAGGTAGGGCCAGAGTGGGCTGCGTGAAGGAAGTGGGGGAGAAGGGCTGTGTGGCAAGATGGAACTAAAATGAGTTATAGAAACTGTCAGAGGAAAAGGGAAACAGAAAAGCACAAACTGCTTTGGCTTCTTCCCAACTCCCATATACCAGTCTTCTGTTAGTGCCCCCTCGTGGTTGAAATGGGCAAGGAACGCCCACAGAGCAGAAAGAAAAGGGAAAGTCTCACACCACTGAATCCTTTAAACTTCTCAAATAATAAGATGCAAGGGCACTTGTAGTCAAACCTAGATTGTCTGTTGGACACTAAGTCATTCTTAAATGCCTAGAAACTAAATATTCTGTTTGTAGCAGATCACAATACAAATGAGAGTAAGTCAGTCTTACGCACACAAACACACACACGCAACAATCGAAAGGGTAGCGATATGCAGAGAGAATATTCAAAATATCACTGCAAAGTTGAGTGTTCACCACTGAAACCATAGTCGGGATACAAAACCCAGTGACACGAAGGGACGGTGCCAACAACAGCACCAAGAGTAGACTATTTGTGACAGAAAATAGTCTGTCAGAAAATTGTGGCAATGCCTTACTTCCTCTGGCTTTTGCCTTTGTTTTGAAACTGGTTCTTCAAACTTCCTGACAGCTGACTGAATTCCTGTATCCCTTAAGTTAGTTCTGTTGTTTGCAACAAAGACTTTACTAAGCATAAAACACAACTGATAAGAGCCAAGAAATTCAAGCACTGAAAATGCCATGTGCGTTCAGTTCCCTAATGCATCCTTACTGAAGACCAGAATGCCAAGGCAAGTAATTATCTTCTGAAGATTTTATAAACTGATCATTGAGATAAAGTTTTTGTAAACTGACACTCGTACCTTTTCCAGGGTGAGAAGATTTATTTCCGACTGCAGGCGGATTTCTGGCTTATTGCTTTGCTGATCCTTGAACTGATGATATTCCTTTTCCAAAATCTTATATTTATTTTCAGCATCATTTAGCTGTATTTAAAAAATTATAGATATTTAAAAACAGTAGTATGCAAAGTTTTAGCACTAGAAAATTCAATATAATCAATTCCCCCTTATCCTAAAGTATAATCATAGTTAAAAACTTATAAAATATGTAGCAAACTAGGATCTACATTTTTATTTATTTATTGAGTGTTGGAGTCACATCATTCTCAAGGCTTACTCCTAGCTCTGTGCTCAGAGGTCACTTCTGGCAAGCTTGGTGGACTATACAGGGTTGTGCCAGGGATCAAACCCAGGTCAGTCACATGCAAGGCAAGGATCCTATCCTTTGAATGTCCACTCTGGTTCCAGATCTCTATTAATCCTAAAAAATTATATAAATATATATATACATTATATAAAAATCTGAGTATGAAATTTCTTATAAAACCAGTATCCTACAACCGATTTTTGTTAGTTGACAAATGAAAAGGTGACCTTATTTATAATACTAATACTGTATACATACCACATTTTGTTACTAAATTCAAATTTCAAATACTGTTATAACAGGCTAATTTAAAGATGACCCAACCCTCTAATGTTTACAGATCATAAAACTGAGGGCTGGGCTGGAGCAATACTACAGCAGTTAGGGGGTTTGCCTTGCACACCTCTGACCTAGGTTCAATACCCAGCATTCTAGATGGTCCTTTCTGCACTGCCAGAAATAATTCTTGAGTGCAGAGCTAAGTGTAACCCCTGAGAATCATTGGTTGTGACCCAAAAAGCCAAAGAAAGGAAAAAAAAAACTGAGGGTCAAAAAGCTAGTCAGTAGCAAAGGGCATGAATACCATTCAATGCAAGTCATCTGCTAGAATAATCCTCTGGTGAAAACAGATGGCAAGTATCCTTAAATTAAGAAGAAACTGACTTGATTTCCTTTGGAGCAATTTCACCACTCATAGCTTTATTTTTCTGGGCAGTTTTGAAGCTCCACTTTAAGGGACATTATAATCAACTACAAACAGGTTCTGCTAAAGACTGCTTTCCCAAATTATAGTATCAATCAATACAGGTACCACCTATGTGCTAAAGCAGTTATATCTTTACTGAAAACTCAGGACAAATGTGAAATAAGAACAATCTGTGGCAGAGGAATTAAATTATAATTAGAATCATTTTTTTCTGAAGTATCTCACTTTCCTGTTGTAAACAAAAGCTAATTAACTTAATTTTTGGCATTTTTCTACCACTCAAGGCCATTATCAGAATCACTGAGATTGTTAGCAGTTTGCTAAACAATAAGCTGTCAGGCATGCAGGGCTTTCTTCGTGGCTTCCACTGATACCTTCCCTTTCTTTGCTGACACTCTACTGTCTGGTACATATACTGTGGTTCAGTGTAAGGACTTAACAACTTTTCTAAACTATGAAATGTTTATAGTGTTGGAATAAGCAATTTGGTCATTCCAGATACTTCCGCTGCCCTCTGCACGTCTCCATACCCCCCAGATTATGTTTTAGAAGCATCCTGAGTAGTTTTTCCAGTTTCCAGAAAGTAGTTGTTAACTATATCCATCCCCCATGACTCAAATATATGACAGCTGGAGCTTCTTAGTGGAAGAAAAGACCCATTACTGGTGAGACTTATCACAACTGTCCTTGGTTAGGATTTAAATGAGCCCCTCTGAGTAACAACCCACCTATATATGAACCACCCATAATATCCTCTGAAGAAAACAGATAGCAAGTGTCCTTAAATTAAGAAGAAACTGACTTGAAATGTTACAGAAACCATTCTTCATGACAGAACTTAATGAACTTTGGACATTCATCATACTTATCTAATCTACACTGAAATTTAAGAAAAATAGATAATCTTAACAGCTTAATCCAAGAACTGAAGGATGCATATAGTTCACTTAGCTCAAAAAGCTGTACACAGAGAGAGTCCCTGGGTCAAGTGAACATGGCATGCCTGATGACCTGAGAAGAGCAGTATTGATGAAGAGTAGAAAGCAAAGCTCAAGGAATGAGATGAGGTGAGACAGCTGGGCTGGGTCCAAGCTAGAGAAGCAGAGGATGCAGGGAATGATTCTGATCCTTATCCTCTGGGCACTAAGTTGATTCTGACAGGCTTTAGAGAAGGACACCATGCTTCCCAAATCTCAAAACTATCACTCTGACGACAAAAGGAAGAAAAGATGAGAGAGGCCATTATGACGTGCTCCGTGAGAATACATAAGAGTAGACAGAGGATCATTCTAACTGAAGATATTCAAGTAGAGGTGTCAAAAAGAAAATCAGGCAGGAGACTTTACTATGAAGGTCTAGGATAAAATACAGAAGTTCCACAGGTACAGGTTGTTTCTGAAACCAGGGCATGAATATGGTTGTTTAGTTCAAAGTACAGAAAAGCCCAGGAGAAGCCCAATATTTAATGACTGATAAAACACACCTAGCCAAGGAGTGGAAATCGAAGACTATGGGAAGAGAGTTAAAGAAGTTAAGAGAACACACAAAATGAAGTATGACCATGGATGTCATCAGTTAATATGACTAAGATAATAAATAAAAATGCTCACTAAACTTGTTGAAGGAGAAAAGGAGAGGATAAAGTGAGGAACACAGCTAATGCTCCATCTTTGCTAAAAGGAGGATTTTCAGAAAAAGATGTTAAAGTGAATGTTATATAAAATACGACATAAATCTCAAGCAAATACTTTTAAAGGAAAGAAAGTTGTTTCAACATAGTCCTTCACTCTCACTTAGGAAAAGAACACCCAACTTAAAGTATATTTGAATCTAAGTATATGTGAACCTTAATGCAATCAGTATGATCAAACATCAACATTATTCTGATTTTTTTCTATTTCTGGAGTACAAATAAACTGAAGTGTAAGGAGCTGACAGGCACTGTCCAACCTGCTTCTGAAGTCGATGTCTGTCCTCTTCTAACTGCTTGATCTTGAGTTTCTCTAGTTCCACTTGGTGGACGCAATCTTCTTTTGCCCTGCGGATAGCATCCTGAAGCTCTTGCAAATTCCGCTCACGTTCTGACTTCACTTCCTTTCGTTCTCTTTGAAGCTTCAATCAGAATACTTACACGTTAACCTCCATTAATGCCCAAGGGCCAGAGACAGTACAGGCACTGCTGAGGTCCTTGCTTTGCTTCTCGCCACCCCCTCCCCGCCCCACACCCCTGTCTGAATTCCAAGCAGAGAAGAGAGAGGGAAAAGTGATGGGGATCTACTCAAAAATTTCTACTTAAATAGAACTCATTTGTTAATATAAACAAATATTTCACAATTTCTTTTCTTTCAGAAACTTCTTTCAGAAACTGCTTAGGCACATGGAAGATAACAAAGCCTTAGTATCAACAAACAGCACTATGCTGAAACAACTGAATCAAAATACAAATTCTAGGTAATATAAAACTAAGGAAAATATTACCTAAGCACAGTACTAGGTCCCAAGTTTTCTTCTATTTCAGGGATCTAATCTTCAGTGAGCAAGAGAGAAGGATATTTTGGTACCCAAATCAGTACTCTAGGTCCAAGTCTATGCTACATTTCTCCCCAATCTAGGCTACATTCCTTCCTGCCACATAAGAGAATAATCAGAAATCGCCACTGAAGCCACACAAAGCTGAGTAACAGTTAACTATCTCAAATAAAAACTTTTCACTACTTAGTCTAAGTATAAAGGAAGAAGGAACACATGGCAGGAACTTAATGCATAGATTCGTGAAAGAGAGGAATACAATACCTCCGCTTCTGCACTGGCAAGCTGCTGCTCCCGTTTCTCTAAGTCAATCAGGGTTTTTTGAAGTTTTCCCTCAAGAACAGTATATTCACCCACCTAAAACACAATAAAAATGACCTTATCTTTTCTTCAAATACAAAACATCAGTTCAGAAATGAATTACTTTTTTAACTCAGAGAATCTGAAAATGGGGTTATGCACGTACAGATGGACGACTCTTAACTGCTGTCTCCTAAAAGGGCCCTTCCTGAGCACCCTGATTTCTACAGGCCTACGGCCAGCTCTTCTCTCTTTAAGGATATGAGTCCTATTCCAGGTGAGAGAACAAACTCTTCAAGAAATATTCACAGTTTTCTTAATCTTTAAATTCAGTTCTGTATAGTTGTACATATTTAACTTTACCCCAGACACCCCAAGCAAGTGTTATAATAGCTACTTCATGGTTAACGATGGCTTCCTTTACTTGAGGAGAAAATCTTAACACAAAAGGATAAATTATCAGACTGAAAAATTTCCGTAAATAATCTGTTCTTTTTCAGAAAACAGAATTCCTGCAAAATGACCAATAAAACCTGATAGGTTAAAAAAACAAATCTGGGGCCAGAAAGATTGTACAGTAAGGCAGCTTGCCTTGATGCATCTGACCCAGGTTGGATCCCAGGCACCACATATGGTCGTCCAAGCACTGCCAGGAGTGATCCCTGAGCATGAAGTAAGCCCTGAGCACTGCCAAGCATGATCAAAAAAAAAAAATCAACTACATGTATATATATGAAATATTCGTTTACTACTATGAAACATTAATATTTAGACTCTAACTTGAATTTACTTATTATCTAGACTAATTCACTATTTCATCTTAAATTTATGACTATCAGCTAATTACTATCTTTAACCATGACAGCTCCTCAAAAAATAGATGAGCTTTATTATTAGCTCATTATTTTGTGCAGAATAGCAAAAATGGAAACAACTGTACAGGGTTTCACCAATGTCACAGATTCCTTCAAATAAATTTTCAAGTACTTAAGCTTTGCAGTTATCTTAAAAACACTTCAGATGGCTACAATAAATCACCATAAAAGCTTCTCATATTGGGGCTGGAGAGAGAGTACCGTGGGTAGGGCATTTGCCTTGCATGCAGTCGACCCAGGTTTGATATCCAATATCTCATATGGTCCCCCAAGCACTGCCAGGAGTAATTCCTGAGTGCATAAGCCAGGAGTAACCCCTGTGCATCACCGGGTGTGACCCAAAAAACAAACAAACAAAAAGCTTCTTATATTTAAGGATATAAAAAAAAAAGTACTAGTTGGACTCTTCAGTTACTTAACTTTAAAATATGTTATCAAGTTGAAAAAGTATCATTTTTTTAAAATCTCCTGGCCGAATCTTAGTGTCTTATAAGATTTTTAAACATAGAGCACACTGAAACAAATAAGTTGTTTACTCTCAAAATATGTGCTCTCAAAATGCACTTTGATAGCAAACTCAAATATACCCTCTAATATGACTAATTCATATAAATTGCCCAGTCATTTTCTTAATAGGCATATTTTCTGAATAAGGTTATTAACTTGTCAGGAGCTTATCAATTTAAGTTGAAATGGTGGGATAAGTTATTTAAATGGCACTAACCATAATACGAAAATGGCAATCAACCTAAAATTACTTGGTGAATCTTTTTTCAACTTTTACAGCAGAAATTTTTTTTGGGGGGCGGGGCAACATAAAGTTCAATTATGGCACCAGGTGGACTTGAATTTTGCAAACCTTAACAATGGGAAACTAATAGTACTTTAAAAAGGGGGATCAAGAATAAACTCATTTCAGAGGGAGAGGGGCAAACAGAATGTTTGCACTTATTTGCAGATAAAAACAAACAAACAAACAAAAAAACAGTACATGCATAATGCCCAAAGACAGCAGAAACAAGGGCCAGGAGGTCTGGTCCATGGTAGGAAGACTGCCACAAAGGTGGAGGAGGAGTGCAGTTAGGACAGAAAAGAGACACTCTATACAAAAACTGAGTGCTAAAAGGAGGTAAAGTGATCTGTATAATACCCTTTCAGTAACAGTATTGAAAACCACAATGCCTGAAAGGAAGAGAGGGGGAAAGAGGGAGGGAGAGAGAGAGAGGGAGACAAGGAAGGAAAGGGAGAGAAAGGGGGAGGGAGAGGAAGGGAGGGAGGGAGAGAAAGAGCGCCATAATGCCCAAAAGAGGAGAAAAAGAGGGGAAGAGAGAGAGAGAGAGAAGAGAGAGAGAGAAAGAGAGAGAGAGAGAGGTGTCTGCCAGAGAGGTAGGCTGAGGGCTGAGGGGGTGGGGTGAGGGTGGTGGGCAGGAGAGAAACCACGGACACTGATGGTGGAAAATGTGCACTGGTGAAGGGATGGGTGCTAGAACATTGCATGACTGAAACTCAATCATAAAGAGCTTTGTAACTGTATCTTGGTTGTTCAATGTTAACATTGGTGGTTCAATGTTAAAAAAGAAAGAAAAGAAACTCATTCTAGAAGCAGACTGAAAATTTTAGAAAACTGAATTATTTTCCAACTCACTCATATTTAGCTAGTGAGTAAAAGAACTGGACTTCTGCTGCCACCACAAAAGACTTAACTGCTCTCCATTACAAACACAGATCGAACAGAGATGAAACAACTCTTTTCAGATACCGGGAAGCAGGCAGTCTGGGACAGCAAATAAATGGGAAAAAGAGTATGCAGGCTGTAGCTCGGGCAGGGGATGCCCAGGCGCCCAGCACTGGCGCAGTGAGGGGGAGGCTGAAGGAACTAGGGAGTTAAAGAGGCAGCAGGAGGGGTGCAGAGAGCGAGCGAGCACTGGAGAGCCGCGTGTCTGAGGCTGGGAACCTACAAGGGGAAACAACTGGCTCAGCCGCCCTCAGAGCTCAGACAGCTCTGTGAACAGTGTACATTTCCCCCAGCAAAACTGAAAAGTAGCAGAGATGCACTCGGCATCCGGTCCTTCACGCCCAGGAGATGATAAAAACAAGCATATAGCACTGATGGGACCCAACAAGGCTTCAGAGGATCACTTCCCCAGTAATGCATTCCAGAACAAAGGACGACAGTCAGTAGTATCAAATTCCTAACTTCTCTCATGTAAGAATAAATTTACCAACCATGCAAAAGAAACATGAAAATGTCAGCTATAAACCAGGAAAGGTGGGGAGGGGCTGGGAATCGGTAGAACAGATCTCAAAATACTACAGATGCTGGAACTAGCAGAGAACCTATTATAAATAATTTCAGAATATATTACTCAAGAATGTAAAGAAAAAGATGAAGTCAGAATTAAAATAAACCCAAATGGAGTCAGTGACAAATCATACCCTTCAGAAGTTAATAGATCAGGAGACCTGAATCTCAGCAAAATGCAAGAAACAAAATATCTTACAGTAAAAAGCTCTCTTTCTGCCCCTGTCCAGCTTTCAATTTATGGGTCAATATAGAATCAGTATAATTAGCTCTTTCTTCTAGAGATTTTCTTAAATGTACATGCAAGATGCTGCCTCTCCTCCAATTTCTGTGCAAGCTATTTATTACCTTTTTCTTTACTATCGACTCTCTTTCCCGGTCCCTTTTCTTCCACTCCTCTGCAAGAGCCTGCATATGAGCCAGTTCTTTCTGCTTTAGCTGTAAAATAAAATTTAAACAAGAATCATGAAAAGCCCTGTATTACTCAATGACCCGTTTTCAGTTCTATAACTATTTTGTTTTTAAAATTCCTTCAGGGGCCAGGGACTAACTCAGTGGGGTCGGGGTACAAGTGCAGAGCCCGAGTGTGAACCTTCTGACCCAGCTGGCAGAGTAGCATGGGGAGAGGCCCCCAGAATCCCTGAGCACTATCAGGGAAGCAACCCCACCACCCAGAAAACAAAGAAAAAAACTTTCTTCCAGGGCTAGGATACGGCTCAGAGTAGAAGAGCCCATGCCCAGGAAGTGTGAGGCCTGAAGGTCCATCCCCAGCTCCACTAGGGATAGCCTGCAGCATGGAGCACTGGCTGCCAGGCCCACCCCACCAGACCGAGTATCTCTAGGAGAGGCGCCTTTGTGCCTGACACCCCACGATTCCCCAACCCCGAGCATGCTAGGTATGCCCTGTGAAAGAAAAAAAAAATTCTCTTATACCAAACTGTTTCCCTTTGGTTTGTTTTCAGGCCACACCCAGCAGCGATTAAGGATCTCTCCGGTGGTGCTGGCTACTGAGGTTGGCCCCGGGTAAGGCAAGCATCACAGCCCCTTAAACTATCACTCTGGCCCCTCATTCCATTTCCACTCAAGAATCAGACATAAAGTTTAGTGAAGTCCTTCTGAGAGGCTCCTGCCAAATTATCACACTATTTTTATTTTCTGTTTTTCTTTGAGCAAGTCATTCTTGCTATTGAGAAGGCCTAGATAGGGCAGCCCTGGAACATAAAGAGATGTCTACCATGGAGAAGGAAAAATATATCAGGCAGACAAAAATAGAGTTGTTAAGTAACATTTTCCAAGTAACCTGATTTTCAAAAATGTCTTCTTGCATCTCTTTCCACATTTCTAGTTCAAGTGCTGCTTTGTATTCTAAGGTATCACGTGGCTCTGTCTGGATCTCTGAAGGACAAGGTGCTGGGGGAAGAGAAAAAGGCTTCTGCTGTACAGGACATAAACCCTAAGAGATGAATTAAAAAAAAATGAAACAAATTCATTCATACACAGAACAGTGTTAAAAAAATAACTTAATAGGATGACAAATACCTGAGATGAATCAGAGACAAAAACCTCACGCATTTTCACTAATCCATAGTCTTCAAGAGTCACTGTGTAAGAAAGATCTACTATCCTGTTATTTGTCCTACAAAAGAAATCAAGTATGTCTTAAAATTCATGAAATTACTAGTTTTCCTCTTATTCCCCAATAATAATGCACTGAGTCAGCAACACTTCATGCTGTAGCAGCCTCTCAGCTTTCAGAGCTAATATACATGATTTTTATTTGATCACAAACACCTTATTAAGTACCTAACTTACACTTCCTACCAAATGACCTTTGGTAGCTGTGGATTATTTGGAAAAATTTAAATGGTAATTTTAAAGCTTTTTCAGTAACAGAAATTGAAACTAAAAAAATTTCAGTTAACCAGACTACTGCTTCTCTAAAATACCAATTTCCAGATCATGCAAGCGGTAATATCTTCAGATGGAGAAGACTAAGTAAATAAATTTCATTTAATTCTTCAATAGTTCAGCTTTTTACTGGGCCTGATTTCTTTCTACATTTTTATTAGCATTTAAAAATACAAGCACATGCAACATTTGAAAGAGGAATACATCTAAAAAGTCCTCATCACAAGAAAAAATAAATTACATAACAATGTTTAAAATACCACAGCTAATAACTAGCCTAGTAGTGATCACCTTGCAATACATACAAATGCCAAAATACTATGTTATATACCTGAAACTAGTATTTATAGGTCAATTTAATTCATGTAACTTGTTTTTAATTAAATCTGTTAAATTTTGTGTTTAATTTTAAAATCACTCAAATTGTGATTTTGTTTTTCTTGTTTTCTGGGTCATATTCAGTGGTGCTCAGGGGACCATGTGGTGCCAGGGAGCAAATCCAGACCCCAGCACCCAAAGCCCGTGAGCTATCTTCCTGGCTCAACAAACTATAATTCTGTTAAACTGCTCATCATTATAATAAATTTTCAGGTAAAAATTCAATTATTTTTTTACAGTGCTAGACACTTGTAACATTCTCTTTAGATTTCTGAGGCAAAAGTTAAAATATTTTTCAAGCAGACGTGTCTAATACACATTAATGAAAGAATACATTATAAATCTGACCTTAACCTTGAAAGTATAGGTATTAGTGTTAACATATTAGCAGAGCTTCTTCCGTGTATGAGGTTATGATCAGAAAGCTAAGAAAAGCAAATGAGATATAACCCTCATGTTCAAGGAAGATTCTGTTGTAGCTAGCTACTCAGAATCACTACAGAGATTTAAAAAAAAGCAAAGACCAAATTTATTAAGTAAATTTAATTATAAATTAATAAACTATTAATTTATAAATTAATTTATGTTATTAATGAGTAAGTTGATAGTTTATTAAATAAATAAATTTATTAAATTACCCTTGTGCCGATATAACTGGCACACTTTCACTGTAAGTTTGACGCCAACACTGTTCACCACTGGAACCTAAAAACCGAGTTTTTTCTGAAGACAGGACGTTGGAAAGCTGGATTCTGGCAATTCCGAGAAGCAAATCTTTACTCATTTTATCCTTGTGCCATAATTCAACCAGCAATGGAATTCTAAGGATGAGAAAAATGTGTTTATAAACTTCAACTCCAAATAAGCTTATATTCTGAAATAATACCTTTTGAGTCCCCTTCCTGTGGTCACAGGTAGCTTTGTTATGGTCTGAAGGGGGTCAATTCCATACGGAACAAATATTTTTTTTTTATACATCTTTTTATGGGCTGGAGCGATAGCACAGTGGGTAGGGCATTTGCCTTCCATGCGGCCAACCCAGGTTCGATCCCTCCGCCCTTCTCGGGAGAGCCCGGCAAGCTACAGAGAGTATCTCGCCCGCATGGCTGAGTCTGGCAAGCTCCCCGTGGCATATTCGATATGCCAAAAACAGTAACAACAAGTTACACAATGGAGACATTCCTGGTACCCGCTCGAGCAAATCTATGAACAACAGGAGGGCAGTACTACAGTGCTACATCTTTTTATGCAATAGTAATCAAACACTAAACACAATAATTCCAACAACTGGTTAATTTTTAATTATCTTTGTTTTCCTTCAAAAATTATATTTAAATCTAAACTGTGGTACTCTGAAAAACTAAAAATATATTTTGCAGATCTCATTTTTCCTCACAAATTTATTTCAGATGTCAATACGATAGATTTCACTATTTACAGATGAAAAACAAAGAATACTATTCATGATTTGAATGACAAACGTTCTTCATTATCTTTGTATAATTTAGAAAAAGGCAAAACTATTTTTCAAAGCTTCTACTTTACTCAGGTTATGTTAACAAAGTTCTGATATTTGAGCTATAAAAATCTTCAGATTCTTCTTAGTGACATAAAATATAGTGACAGCAAAATCTTTCATGGGCGATATTACTGGTATATTTGCTTCTAGATTCTCAACTGCATAAATTGTTATGGATTTAAACTAAGATTAATTTTGGAAAATGACACCATATATACAATGCATACAATACCTTGAAAAGGTATCTTGCAACTGGTAAGGCATAGTTGCAAAATCAAATGCACAGTAAGACTGAGGCAGAAAAACTTCCATGTTTTTCCGGACTTCTACAGGAGGATTAGTCATAATAGGAGCTGCACTTCCAAAGAATGGATATGAATACCTAGAATTTAAAAAAAAAATCCTCATATAATATGGATATGGAATACACCAGAAAAAATCATAATTCTAAGAAATAAGTGAGCAGAGCATACTTGAGAAAGTAAACTAGTGCAATTTTTTATTTAGAAATCAAAATTTTCTGAATAAGAAAATTTATAAATGAATATTATACTATTTGACATCAATTTTTGTGTTATGTTTTTGGACCACACCTGGAAGAGCTCAGGGCTTCCTTTTGGCTCTGTGCTCAGGGGTCACTCCAAAGATGATCAGGGGACCATGTGTGGTGCTGGGAAGTGAACCCAGGTCTGTCACATACAAGTCTTCTATACTATCCAGCCCCATTGACGGAAGTTATTTATTAAACATTGTAAAGTTATATAAAAATAACTGAAATTTCTTAAATCTTATGCTATAGTTTAAAAATGAGATTTCTAGTTTTTGTTTTGTTTTTAAGCTTATGAATATTATAAGCAAATAGAATTTCTAAGGCACTGCTTTGGGCCATACCAGTTGTGTTCCGGGATCACTCTTGGCAGGACTCAGGGGGCCATAGGGTATGCCAGGAAAAAAGTCGGGTCCACTATAAGCAAGACATGCACCTTACCCCCTATACTATCTCTCTGGCTCTGCAAATGGAATTTTAAAAAGTAAAACAGGTGCTTGGATTGCACATGAATGAACCCAGGTTTGATACCTGACACTACAAATGGTCCCCAAGTCCTGCCAGAAGTGATACCTGAGTACTACAATGTATGGCCCTAAAACAAATACATATATTATGACTGAGCATTTTCATAGGGACCACAATTCCTAAACAGCAGGTAGAGTGCTAGCATCAAATAAGTGTTTCATGAGCGAACAAACTGCCTTTATAGCAAGAAGGAAATACAAACCCCATTATTAGAGCTTCCTAAGTGGGCTTTCCCCTCACAGCATCTAATTTTAGATATTCATTCCTATGCTCTATGCTTATGGTCTGAAAGGATCCTGTTGCTACTTTCTGGTAGCAACAGGAGAGATCTCAGACTTCCATTCTGTGAGTTCATAGTTACACTCAGTCCCAGGTTCCTTTGATTCTATCATTCACACCAAAGCTCAGAGAATTTTGGAAACAGTAAGGAATCAGAGAATTGAAACTGAAACTATGAGTGAACTCATGCATCTCATAGATAGGTATGCATCACCTAAGAGCAGTCACCTACATGCTTGGGCACAGAATCCAAGATGACTTTCTTCAATCACATAAAGAATAAGTCAATGTAAATGCTCATATTACTACAAATACATTTAAAAAGAGAAACTAAATATTCTAATAACAAAATACTCTTTAATAAGAAACTAAATACTCTATAACTAAATACTGGGCTGGAGCGATAGCACAGCCGTAGGGCGTTTGCCTTACAAGCGGCCAACATGGCCGACCCGAGTTTGATTCCTCCGCTCCTCTGGGAGAGCCCGGCAAGCTACCGAGAGTATCTCGCCCGCATGGCAGAGCCTGGCAAGCTACCGCTGACGTATTCGATATGCCAAACACAGTAACAACAGGTCTCATGATGGAGACGTTACTGGGCCCGCTCGAGCAAATGTAATAAAGATTTGTAGGAATAGCAGGTACCATGCTTCCATTAGTTTGACCTATAGCGCCTTTTCCAGAAACAACATATTTAGGTTCAAGCATTAATAAATTTTAAATAGCATCATTAATAAATTATTTCAGGACCAATAACTATTACACTGATATCATCCTGCCATCCTGGGTTAGGTTCCAAATTATTGAGACAGTATACTCTTTTAGGCCACTGGTTTTACATTTTAAATTCTTTGGTGACACTTCTGTATTAGCAATTCCTCAGAAAAGAATACCTTGACTTGTCCAATTTTTGGTAATAGCCACTCAGCACTTGGAAAATCTCTGTACCCAAACGGTGCCCAGCAGCCTGCACGCCAGTCTCCCAGGGTCCACTAGAGTTCCCCCTCTCCTTCCCTCCCACTGATGGTGTGAACTGTATGCTTAAATTGTTGCAATATAGACTCTCCTTTCCCCAGTAAATCATACTGTAAATACTGTAGCAAAAAAAGAATTTTTTGAATCAAAATCGAAACACACCTTAATATACAGTTGATGGGAAAGCCAGCTTCCAAGTCATGGATGCTCCTTAGGTCTATTGAAAAGCAGAAATGATGCGATGTTGCTGGAACAGCGATTTTCTGTCCCGATACTGTCTCGGATACGTTGGATGTAGTCACTGGGGCAGGTGCAGAACTGATGGCTAAAACAACAACAACAGGAACTATATATGTAGTTTCTCTTACACAAATAATTTAAAGATACCATATCTCATTTACTTAGAGGCAAGAAATTTAACTATTTGGTTTTACAAGCATGAATTAAGGCATAAAAGTCTTATAATGACTACCCCAAATCACACTGCTTTAATTCCCATTACAGAACTCTGAAAAAAGCTAATTCTCAAAATAATGTATGACGCAAAGCATAACAGCATATAATACTGATACAGTCACGTTTGACAGCGGCCTGGCAGACACTCAAGAGGAGCTATAAACATAAGTCATTATTCAAGGGACCATATTTGAGACGAAGGGCAGACATAATTACATCATGTTTTTAAAAGTCAGTAGCTATTTTAGGCACAAATGGCACAGTCTAACAGAAAGTAAAAACATGAAAAAAGAGATATAACTAGAACAAACCTATTAAGAACAGAGATATTTTCGAATCATATAGCTACTCAGACAGAGTTATAACTTACACCCAATCCATTTAACTCCTCACTCACTACTCCAGGGTAGCAAGTATAGCCGTAGATTCTTTTGCCATAGGTGAGAAATTTTTATAAACCTGCATTAATAGTATCTTCAGTCTCTTTACAATCAAAATTACTGTACCTTTTTAAGGCAATTTCTACTATGAAAATAAAAAAAAATTTCTCTTGCAGCACATTACAACTTCTATTAAGTCAAATAAACTGCTATTCCTTTATATTTATTTCATAGCATCACACACTGTTATAATTAAAAACCCACAAATTTTACTTAAGGCCCATGAAAAGTCTCATTGTGATTTCTGAGATTTCTACAAATACTAATTTCAAAAAAATCTGTACAATCAGAACCTTACCCTTTGGATTAAGTTTTGCTTCTCGATCATACATTAAGCTTTCCACTTCACTTTCTGTTGCATCATCTTTTGTTGGGGGTGACTGGTTTTGAGGGAGAACAGGGGACATGCTTGGAGATTTCGGTACACTTAGTGTCTTTTCCTTGATGGGGGTTAAAACTTTCTTCTTTGAATGCTGAGGCTCATGTTCATTCTGGGTCTTTAATTCACCTAAAGGCTGAAATCAATTTTTTGATAAAGTAAAATTAGAAAAAAAAACTTTCATAATTAAGCAAAAAAAGCTTAATTTAAAAAAAATAGCTTCTCTTCCCTATTTAGACATTCCTAGTCTAGTTTTCTTCATCATTTGCAACTTTTCTTCTAGTATCTATGGCCAGAAAAAGAAAAGTGAATAGGGAGAAAACATGTTATCCAGAGCTGAGTACCAGACTGCATCCTGACAGGATAGTTGATTTTAAAAAAGTCAGGCGTAGATGCCTCTAGGATAGCTTAGTCCTAACAATGTAACAAAATAGAGGCCTTTATCCCTAAAGGCAAAAAAAAAAAAAAAAAAAAAAAAAAAAATCAAAAACCAACACCAGTAACCACCTCTTATTGTTCTTTGCTCTACTACTCTCTAAAAATAAATACATTCATACTTTGAAATCTCTTACTTTAATTTTTCTACCTTTAACTCATAACCTAGATAAAGATCAAGGTTTTTGTTTGTTTGGGGGCCATACCCAGCAATGCTCAGGGATTACTCATGACTCTATACTCAGGGTCACTCTTGGTGGGACCCAGGGGCCATATGAGATTGTGAACATGGGTTGGCCTAGTACAGGGCAAGCGCCCTATCAGCTGTACTACTGTTTTGGCCCCTGAAGACCAGTTCTTTTAACGATTAGGACACAGGCTTACAGGACAATAGTGACAAAAGAAGTTCCCTGCTTTGTTCCCAAAGGACCTACTAATTAACAAGACAGACAGGACCCAGAGTCCCATAGCCAGGGCTGAGACAGAGGATTCCTACACGTTCAAGTTCCACACAGGGCGCGGAGAGTCATTCTTCAGTGGAGGTGGCGGGTGCTGGCCCAGCCAGAGAACTGGAGGGATGGAAAGCAGGAATGGAGTGAGGGACACATCCTTGATCCCCGTGCAGCCACACAAAGGAGCCAGAGTGCTCCACAAAGGCCAGGGCCCCAGCAAGGAGGACGACCACTGACAGGAGACAGAATGGCGAGTCTGTGTGTGAGGCCTTGGAGGGGTGGGCTATCAGTGATGCCACAAAACATAGGATAGGCTTGGCCTCCTGTCCTTTCCCCTACCAGAGTGTGCTCAAGCTCCTACCCTACTCTGAAGCATGCAAGTGACAAGTCTTAGTACCGATGGATGCCAGCAAATAAAACCACATAAAAGAAAATCTAACCAAAGAGAGCATTGCCTGTCTGAAAAGTAAAAGTAGTTCCACTCTTTAGGTAAAATTTTAAAAACAAAACAAAAAAAAGGGAAATTTAAACCATAGCAATCGAACAATGGGTAGTGTGCTTGCCTTGCACACAGTGGACACAGGTTCAATCCACGGCACTTGAGTGCAAAGCCGGGAATAACCAATGAGCACCATCAGGTGTAGCCTCAAAACAAGCAAATAATAGTAACAAAAAGTTGCCAAACTGGCTGGAAATCTGAGATTTTCGGGTTAATGACACCACAAGGAGAACAATTCCCTAGAATCCCAACTTCAGACATGGAAGACCATCTCCCTGGCATGTAGCATTCAAACTGCTGTATGTTTAACTTCACTTGGTGGTAAAAGGATATAGCAAAGGTTTAAAAAACTCTCAATGACAGAATAAAAATAATAACAAACTCAGAAAATAAAATGATCAAAAACAATTAACACACTGAAGCTTTCAATAAGAAAAAAACACTCAGAATATGGCAAGCCCAAAAGACAAGATGGACAGATTCCATAGAGAGCTACAGAAAGCTATGATGGACTCTACAGACTCCTACAGAAAATACAATAAAAAGCTAAATCAAAAGTAGGACCAAGTCTGTGAGTTTTAAGAAAGTAATATACAAATTTTCAGCTCAAAAGACAGAAAAAAAAAAAGACAGAAATAAGATGTACAAAAGGAAACAGTACAGTGGGAACTATCCAGTTCCATATGGAAGAGTCTATGAACTAACAATACCTGGCTGCTATTATTATTATTACTTTGGTCTGGGAACCACATCTAGTGCAACTAAAATTCCAGAGCGATTACTTGGGGGAGAACCCAGTGCAAGAGCCTGGCCCCAGTATCCTGCATGCACAAACTGGCTCTCCTGCCCCGTGAGTTTGACCCTTCAATATATCTGCCACTTATGGATTGGTTAATTTTGCCCATTTAAATCCCCATTAATACAAATGCCCTGGATCTAGGTCTGAAAATGTTTGTTTTTATTGGAATTCTTTTTCTGCCATTAGTCACTGACTATGGGCTAGGGGTGGATGTGGAAGTGACAGTTTTCAGAGAAGAGACAATAGTCCCTAAGGGCCTCGCTAAGGTCATTTATAATCCTAGCCGGGAAAATCACAGTGCTTCTCAGAAAGGTCTTCTCAGAAGGGAACTGTCATATGATGTAGGCCAGTGAGGAGTCATTGCTGCTCCTTACACTAGGTAACTTCTGAAGTTCCACTTTGGTGAATAATCAGAAATGGCACTGGAGGACGGGCAGAGGTCACCACTTGCCTGTGAGTCTATGCCTTCCCTCTGCAGAGCCACAGAGACTCCCACAGTTGGGGCAAGCTCCACTGGAATGGGGGGGAGCTTTTGCTTGGCTCGGTTTGGAGGCTCCAGGGTAAAAGCACCCTCCACTGTGACAGGATGCTGGTTGATTTCTGTACTTCCCTTCTTTAGTAACCCGGTCAGGGGTATTTCTGTACTCCCAAGTGACTGGTCTCCACAGCAGAGATGGATCTAAAATGAAAGGCAAAATTGGGCTTTATATTTTCTTTCTACTAAACACATCCAAAAATTTTTTTTACATAATCTGCATTGTATTTCCTTGCGTGGCTCATTATTCTATTTACTTTCAATAAGTAAGGAATAAATTCTCAATACAACTGTTATAATTGTTGATAAAACAAAATTTATCAAGAATTCAACAATAAAGCTATTTTCCAATTTTTCCTTTTAATACTAGACATACAGAAATGTTTTCACTCATTTTTGTCTCCTTGAGCAGGAATACTCTAATATTATAGTATGTTATTGATCTATTTGAAAACTGTATTTACCTTAAAATGTTTCAATTTCCATATTAACATCAATTAAAAGCAGTTTTGAAAACTAATGTAATTCTAAAAGATTCACAACATATTTGGAAATTAAAGAACCTCAACTTGTTTTATTAATTCATAAGATACTTTGAGAATTTCTTCCTTTTCTAGTTTTTTACACTGTATACAAAGTAACAATGTCTAATAGTAAAAAAACCACCTCTGGGGTGGCAAGTACTATTAGTCACTAATAGCTAACCAAAAATTCAACGTTTGTTTTAGCTTTGAGCTACACCCAGCAGTAGTCAGGGCTTACTCCTGGCTCAGCACTCAGGGACCGCTAGGGGGACCTTAAGTGGTATCAGGGATCAAGCCAAGATCAGGCCATGTGCTGACCCATGTGCAAGGGTCCTAGCCATTGTGCTATTGCTCTAACAACTTTATCAGCTTTTGCAACTACCAAAAAGTAAAGAAAGAAAGAAAGAAAGAAAGAAAGAAAGAAAGAAAGAAAGAAAGGGAAAAGAGTTGTTTCGAGTGTATGTTATATAACAATCCTTTTTCACTGGCAAACATCGGATAGAAATAATAATTAAAAATTTTTTTTAGAGCAAAGGGTTCTAGGGAGGGCCCATTCGGGATGAGAGATGCAGGCTGAAAGTAGACTATAGACCAAACATGATGGCCACTTAATAACTCTATTGCAAACCACAAGACCCAAAAAACACCCAAAAAGAGAGAGAGAGCAAAAGGGAATGCCCTGCCACAGAGGCAGGGTGGGGTAGAGGGGACAGGGTGTGGGTGGTGGGAAGGATGATGGAATCATTGGTGGTGGAAAATGGGCACTGGTGGAGGGACGGGTACTCGATCATTGTATGACTAAAATGCAAGCACGAAAGTTTACAAGTCTGTAACTGTACCACATGGTGATTCACTAATAAATTTTTTTAAAAAAAGAAAAAAAATTTTTTAGTTCTAATCTCATAAATGATCTGAAACAGTCTAAAAGTTACTAGGTATAACTTTCTACTTTTTAAACTATCTAGATTTATTTTACTAATGTGTATATCTGAGTGCAGCAAGAGACACAACAGAGCTGGGTATTCTTAGTTATTAAGTGCTCCTGGCATTTTTTTTAACAGTCCAACTGGGGCAAATTTTTATTTTCAAACAAACTTTTTCTAATTCAGTGATTTTTTAAAATACAAATAAAAAGCAGAATACAAACTTATTAAGTATTTTAAATAAGTTGGAGGGAAAAGATATTTATGATTTTAATGTCATGAAAATCAATTTTAATGCCAAGATAGGACTGAGAAGATCAGTCGAAGAACTCCACATCGGGACCCATGGCTTAGAATGGAACAAACAGGGTAAGAGACTGATCATGTCGACCAAGACCATCCATGGTAACTCACAGTTCCAGAAGGCCGAATCTAAACTTTGGACATGTCCCAGTGGACGGTTCCACAACGAAATTGACCACATCATATTCAATTGACGGTTTTGCCTGACCTATGTCGCTGTTGTCCCAAAATTCCAAACAGGATCAGACCACCATCTCCTTCATGCAAAATTTTACTTCATGGAGTGGGGAAAAAGGTCTGCAAAGTTTAAGAAGAGAACTCCCAGAATGACCACCAACTGGGAGCTCTTTGGCACTATTGCGGCAACATGGGAAGATGCCGTTGTTGACAACACTGACGAAGAATACGATCTACTGGTTCAGCACCTCCATGATTGTGCAAGGAATGCCAAGAGAGATAGCCACAAAAAGACACCTGTCTTCGAAAATTTTCGAACTCATCCACCAGTGTGGCTTGGCGCAAGCCTCAGGCAACCGCAAGCAAACGTTCAAGCTCGCGAAGCAGTGCAGAGAAGTGATAAAGGAAGACCTCAAAGAGAAGAGCAGGAATGCTGGCCAATGTGGCAGAAGCCGGGAAAAGCATTCATGACACCCGCCTGTCCTTCGTCAACTACAAGACCAAGATGACTGCCCTCCAATGTCCTGATGGATCTATCACATCTTCCAGAAGGGCAATGGAGAAGATTAACAATAACTTCTACTGGGCTGGAGCGATAGCACAGCGGGTAGGGCGTTCGCCTTACAAGCGGCCAACATGGCCAACCCGAGTTCGATTCCTCCGCCCCTCTCGGAGAGCCCGGCAAGCTACCGAGAGTATTCAATATGCCAGACACAGTAACAACAAAGTCTCCAATGGAGACATTACTGGGCCCGCTCGAGCAAATCGACGATCAACAGGAGGGCCTTTACCTTTACCTTTACCTTTACCTTAGGATCTCTTCAATAGCCACATCCACCTGCCCACATACCAAATTCTGCAGGATGGATATGTCGTTCCCAACATTTTCCCTTCTGGAATCCGACACACCATTTCGTTGGTAAAGAAGCGAATAGCACCTGGCCCAGACAAGGTCAGGCCCAAACACCTGAAGAACCTGCCATCAGTACTCAATACACTGGCTCGGCTCTTAACACGCTACCTGTCTGAATGCAAGGTTCCGTCCCAGTGGAAAACCAACAGGACTGTACTACTGTACAAGGGAGACATTCACGAAGGGATTCAGCACGATCAACCATATCCACATGGTAACCAAGCTCATTGAAGTTTCTCAGGAGTTCAAGATGCCAATCTGTCTAACGTTCACTGATTTAAAGAAGGCCTTTGATTCTGTTGAGACTGAAGCAGTCATCGAAGCCCTAACCCAAACAATGCATTCAAACTCAATACATCAGGATCCTCCATGAGCTGTACTATGGATTCACTACCAGGATCTCACCATTCTACAAGGAAGTGATCATCCATGTCAAGAGAGGGGTTCGGCAGGGTGATACCATTTCACCGAAACTTTTCAGTGCCACCCTTGAGAACGTCATGCGATGATTGGAATGGGAAGGAATGGGACTGAAGATAGACAGTTGGCAACTATACCACCTCCGCTTCGCTGATAACATCATCCTAATAACACCAAACATTAGCCAAGCGGCATAAATGCTGGCCGACTTCGACTGTGAGTGTGGAAAGGTCGGACTGCAGCTGAATCTCACGAAGACAATGTTTATGAGAAATGGACTCGTTCCTGACGTTCCATTTGCTCTCAACGGAACGAACATCCCCAAATGCAACAGTTATGTGTACCTAGGTCGAGAACTCAACATGACGAATGACCTGACACCTGAGTCGCGCAGGAGGAAGAGAGTGGCTTGGAATACCTTCAAGAGTGTGGAAGAAATAACTAAGAACACAAAGAACCTCCGGCTCCGGGCACTCTCTGATTCCACTGTTCTTCCTACATTAACATACGCCTCAGAGACGTGGGCCCTACAAAAACAGAACGCTATATGGGTCTCCCAAAGAGGAATCGAAAGAGCTATGCTTGGAATATAACACCACTCAAGTAAGAGAAAGAATCCAAAGTTCCGACCTCCATCAATGATGGAGAATCAGGGACACTGTCTCATCTGCCAAGGCGTCGAAAATCAGATGACACGTAATGCGACTTGGAGACAACTGTTGGACTAGAGCCGCTACCAACTGGATTCCACAGGACATCAAAAGATTGCATGGCTGCCCACCTACGAGATGGTCAGACTTCTTCATCAAGATCCTGAACAATCGGTTTGAGGCTCTTCATGTTCCTGGAGTGAGCAGATGACATTGGGCTACACTAGCACGCAACAGGGACGAATGGAAACATTACTGGCGCCCGCTCAAGCAAATCGATGAGTAATAGGATGTCAAGTGATCAAGTGAAAATCAAATGAATAAAGAAACTAATATCATGGGTGAAGATTGATATGTTGATATGTAAGACACAGTAAAACCTAATACACATCCTCTCAGCATTTCATCTTTTGATACAGTCATTAGTTTTCAGTTTGGCTTGGGTTTATCAGAACTAGTTCTAAATTTTGTTCTACTAAAATGTCTTAGTGCCTCTTTTTACCTCTCACTGAAAATTCAGTCTAAATGTAAACGTAAAGGTAAAGGCCCTCCCGTTGATCATCGATTTGCTCGAGCGGGCCCAGTAACGTCTCCATTGGAGACTTTGTTGTTACTGTGTCTGGCATATCGAATACATCACGGAGAGCGTGCCAGGCTCTGCCGTGCGGGCAAGATACTCTCGGTAGCTTGCCGGGCTCTCCGAGAGGGGCGGAGAATGGCGGGTAGGCGCTTGCCTTGCAAGTAGCTGTTCCCATGTTCAGTCCCCGATACCACGTATATCGCCTTGATCTCAGTCACTTTAAAAAAAACAACTAACATGGCATTTTATTACTCCATTTCAGTGTGAAGATAAGAACAGTAGTTGTTAGTAGATCACTTTTAAACAGAAATCAATTTAAAATTAATTTATACCTGTTTCCTCAAAAACTAGGTAAAAAAGTATATTATCTCCAAAAATTCTGAGTTAAACTGTTATTTTTTTTTTTTCACTTTACCAGTCAGAGTAATTCCTAAAAAATTAAGACATGGCAGAGAAATGACCTCCACTACAGAAAAAACGGTAGTTTAGTTACCGCTCAAATGTTTAAAAACACTAATTTACAGTAAACTACTAAGCTACTTACCTGTATTTTAGACTGAACAGCCAGATAAAAACGAAGAATTTCTATGCTGCTACGTATTCGAACAGATGCTCGTTCTGGCTCAAAGTTTGGGTTGATTAAATCATTGAAGGGTTCATTTGTAACATCATTTCCCAGTAAAGAATAGTAAAAGAAAAACTCAGGTTGTCTTTCTGGAAGTTTCATGGTACATGGGATTAACTAAACAATTAAGGAAAAAGAAAAGAGTATTACTTCATAACCCATTACATATGCTTTAATAAATTCACAAGGTATTTACTAAAATTTCCATAATTTATTTCAGGTCCTAAAATCAACCATTTAACAATCCTAAATCTTGACAAAACTACCATAAAACTCCTAGTCTGATTCTTTTTTAAAGATATGGGCCAGAGAAAAGGCAACACAACAGGAAAACTGATCCATGCGACTGAGTTGGGCACGGGGCTGAAAGGAAGGGGCACTTGGGGTCTTTGGGGGAAGAAGGTGGGTACACTGGTGATGGGTGTGATGATGGAATCATATGCATCAGAAACCATCATTAACAGAACTGTAATCACAAAATCTCAATTAAAAAAATAAAACAGACATAATACAGAAGGAAAAAAAAGATAATGAGCCAAAGAGACTATACACAGGTGTTGAGGTAAATGCCTTGCACGTAGCCCACATGGGTTTGATCCCTGGCACAGCATGGCCCCCTGAGCACCTCTAGTTACCACCAGGGAGGCCCCCAAGCATCACAGGGTGTGGCCTTGGGGGCACCCCAGCACCTCTATATCCCTGAGTATGCCTTGCTCTGCACAGCCCAAGCAGCTCCACCTCTTCTGGCCCTTGTGCTGAAGAGCCTGACTGATGCACAGAATCACCAGGAGGGGCCACACTGCTTGGGTGGGGGCCAGAGGGGGTGACTAAGCAATAATTAAATTATTTTAAAATTTTAATATTTTAAAATTTAACAAAATAATAGTATAGCATACAGAAGCATACAAATTATAAAGACATGTTGTTCATGAACCTGTGAACTTTCTTTCAAGGCAAAAAAGGGGGAATTTTATTTTTTGGTAATTCTTTTTTTTTTTGAATCGCTGTTAACTACAGAGTTACAAAGTTTTACTATTAAGTTTAAGTTTCAAGCATACAATGTTCCAACAACAATGCCTTTACCAGTGTATACTTCCTTCCACCGTCATCCCCAGTTTCCCTCCTGCCACTCCCCCAGCCTAGCTCTATGGCAGACGCTTTTCCCTCCACCATTATTCTAAGTGTTCCCTTATTGTCTTCTCCCCCACCCCCAGCCCAGGAGCAAGCTTCTTACTGCTTTTCTTTTCTATTGCCTTTGGGTATATTATTCCCCTACTACTTTTCTTCATATCCCTGCATATGAGAGATTATTCTGTGTCTGTGCTTCTCCCTCTTATTCCACTCAACATGGAACTCTCTAGAGCCATCCCTGTAGCAGCACATTGCATGACTTCATCTTCATCTACTGCTGAGTAGTATTCCATTGTGTATACCATAGCGTCTTTATGCAGTTGTCCGTTCTTGGGCACTTGGGTTGTAGGAAAGGTCTCTTATAAATGAGATTTTCTTATTATCCCAAACCTGATGTCATATTATCCCACTACTCCTTTCATAAATTAGAAAGGGTGCTTAAACACTCTTATTCCAGGTTTCTTAACGTAATAGCTTCGTCCAGGTTTTTGCTTAAAAAGCTACACAGTCACTATCAAATTGTGGACACCTATAACTTAGCAATTGGAAAAGAATGACTAATACTAGGAGGATTTCTTCTCAGTGTTGGTATTTCATGGCAACATGGGGTTCTTATCTCTTTTAAGACATCATAAATTCTCTAAGAATGTATTAATCATAACAGATATTCTAAACCACTGATATCATCAATAGGAGATACTAAAATCTATACAGTGAATAGTTTTATAGCTAATATTAGTTACATATAGATAAATGATATCCTGAGATGAAAGACGCTTAAAACAAATGGTTAGATAAAAAAGATGGCCAACTGAGAATTGGTCTTCAGTAGGAAGCCTACCATGGGGAGGGGATATAAGGATATTAGGATGGGTGGACCTGGGGGCAATGATGAAAGTGAACACTCTGGGACGGGGTGTGGTTCTGGACTGTTATGCATGAAACCCCATTTTAAGCAGTATTATAAAACTAAAACTTTTTAAATAAATTAAAAAGGAAAAAATGGCCCCACAGGGAGAACCTGTGTTTATATCTGCCTACAAACCCAAGAAACCTGAGACCTGGATCAATCTACACTGAAACCAACTTGAAACCTGAAAAAAGCACAGCCTCTGCATGGGGAGAGGAAATAGTGGAAAGATTGACATTCATGTTGCTTGCCAACCTGAGTGTAAAAGTCCTTAGTAGTAAGATATGGCTGACATGGTATTTGTAAACATTGCACAATTCCCCAAAAGTACCTTTGAGAAAGAAACATTCCTTAAGATGCTTAATAGGTTAAAAAAAAAAAAAGCGTACTAGAGAATTTTCTTAAATTCTAAAGGGCAGATTTAAAAATAGCAGCTCTTCATGAATCCTTAACTTCAGGGAGTCTCACCTGCTCCAACTGGGTGGCAAATGCTATGGTCACTGACATAATGAAGAAGTCAGTACAGCGATCCGCTGCTCCGATCTGATGGTAGCCGCCCTCCTCATTCAGCACTGCCACAATGTCCTTGGGGTCAAGTCCAGACAGGCTGGCCGGTACTTGATGGAGAAAGACACAATTAGACCACATTCTAGTTTGCCATGAAACAGTAAAGGATTCTGAAAGCTAATTATGCTGTTTCAATATAATGGCAGAGGACTGGTATTATTCAAGGTCAGAATTTACTATAAAGCTTCAATAATCAAGACTGTAGTACTGGGGAAAGAGAAGATACACAGTCTGATGGAACAGAAAGAAATCCAGAAGCAGACCCATATAAATAGTCTATTGATCACTAACGAAAGAGCAAAGGCAATTCTGTGATGCAAAGACAGCATTTTCAAAAAACAGTGCTGGTAAAACTAAACACCTATACAAAAAAGTTCGAATCTAGACACTGAACTTACACTAGCAAGAAAATGAACTCAAAACAGACTATGTATTTAAGAATAAAGTCAAATCTATGAAACTCCTAGAAGAAAAATGTATGATATGTTAACTTTTTAGATACAATAGTAAGCACATGATCCACAAATGAACTAAGCTGGATTGCATAAAACTAATAAAAAAAGTTGTACCCACTGAAAATAATCTCAAGAGAAAAAGAAGACAAATCACATACTTAAACATTTATTCCTATCCAAAATATACAAAGAACTTTCTGAATTCAACAATAACGAAACAACTGATAAAAAAGTGGACTAAAGGCCTGAGCAGGCACCTCACCAAGTAAGCATGTGAGAGGAAGTGAACACCATATCACTGGGAAACTGTACATTAAAACAACAATGAATAGTAATGCACATCAATTCAAACACTCCAAACCCAACACAGACAGCACCAAATGTTGACAAGGATAAAGAGCAACAGGAACTCTCCTCCACTGCTGGCAGGTATACAAAATGGTACAGCCACTTTGGCAGCATATGAAACAAAATAGCTACCATATAATGCATTAGTCATGCTCTTTAGTATTTATCCAAGTAAAATAAAACTTTATGTTCATACCAAAGATCTATGGGCAGGTGCGATAGCACAGTGATAGGGTGTTTGCCTTGCAAGCAGCCAACATGGCCGACCCGAGTTTTATTCTTCCACCCCTCTCGGAGAGCCTGGCAAGCTACTGAGAGTATTTTGCCCGCACGGCAAAGCCTGGCCTGGCAAGCTACTCGTGACGTGTTCGACATGCCAAGCACAGTAACAACAAGTCTCACAATTTGTTATGAGATGTTACTGGTGCCCGCTTGAGCAAATTGATGAACAATGGGAGGACAGTGCTACAGTGCTACTAAAGATCTATACAGAGATGTCAATGTTTTATTCCTAATTTCAAAAACTTGGAAGCAACCAAGTAGCCCTTCAGTGAGTGAGCAGACAGACTGTGATATACTCCGACAATACAGTATTACTCAGTATTAAAAGGATTCAAGCCATGGCGGGGGGGGTGGGGGGGGGGGAGGGGGCACCTTGAAGGAATCTGAAACACACTAAGTGAAAAGAAGCCAAACTAAAAAGCTCTGCGCTGTAGAATTCCAACTATATCATCTTCCAAGAAAGGCAAAACTATAAAGATACCGAAAAATAAATATCAATTGATGACAAGGATTGGGGGAAGAGGATGGGAATAAACAAGAATAGAGAGAACTTTTAGAGTAGTGGAAACTATCTGGAAGATACAACTACAGATGATATAGTAACAGTCTAGTAGCTGGGAAAAATTTCAGTGGCTAGAGTACTATCTTGCAAGGGTAAGGCCGTGAGTTCAGTCCCCAGCACCACAGCTCTGGTGGCTCTGCTCTGGTATCCCAGCCAAGTAGCTGTGTGCATGCACAAGGAAAAGAGCACAGGCTGAAAGGGTGGGACCCTGGCAGAGTATGTGCGAGCCATCGCAACTGAACGTGTGCAGTTCTCAAGAGAGCATGGGGCCAAGTATGTGACTATAACAACTGGAGGTGTGGCGGCCCCAGTCATCACCACAACCCAAGAGAGGCAAGAGGGGGTCAATTTAAATTTAAAACGAAGTTTATCAACTGAAGAACTATGAAGGGTTTTTAAAACTAAGTTTATAGGAAACGACATTTTAAATTTTCGTACACTTATCCTATGGAGAAAATAACTCTTGAGCAGCAATTTATAAAAGCAATACGTAATCCTTTTTTTCCTTAGATACATATGTATCTTGAACAGAAAATCTGTTTCTAAGTTTCGTGAAGTGGTACACCTGTACCATGTTCAACAATGTCACATATTAGTCTCAGGTGCTACAGCAAAATTTTGCTTAGACTTCTCGTCTAAGAAAAATTCGAGAAACTTCTCCCTTTATTATCTTCCCTCTTAAAAGCCCCAGTCTTGAGGTGAGACTTCTCAGACAGTGTTCTCAGAGAGGATGCACAAACCTTTTCCATCTCGGGGCGGGGCTCCCTTTGCTTTAAAACTGTCCACTGGTGCCTTTGTATCTGTTTCCAAAGCTATGCTAATCTGTATTTCTGACTTAAACTTGGTGTATTTATTACTCAGCAACTGGTACCATTTTGGTGCCTAGAGAATAATAAAATAGTGGTTAGTAGAAAATAAATAGTAGTAGAAAGTGTCCTAAAGGTTCCACATTTTTTTTTCTGTAGTTTTTCAGTACTTTTGTATGATCATGGTCTGGTTCAGGCTATAAAATTAAAGAAAGAAAACTTTTTCTGGACTAAGGGACAGAGACATGATGGGCAAATAAATGTTTATGAACAAATGGATGAACAAAACAAGTCCTCATTTAGGTGAATACTCTATGAGGACTAAAGTTAGTTTGGAGGCTGGAGTGATAGCACAGCGGGTAGGGCGTTTGCCTTGCACGCGGCCGACCCCAGTTCAATTCCCAGCATCCCACATGGTCCCCGGGCACCGCCAGGAGTCATTCCTGAGTGCAGAGCCAGGAGTAACCCCTGAGCATCGCCGGGTGTGACCCAAAAAGAAAAAAAATAATAATAATAATAAAAAAAATAATAAAATTAGTTTTAGTTTCTTTTAAATGATTCCATGAATGATTGGGCAACTGGGAAATGTCTAGTTCATTTTCAAATATATTTGCTTTTTAGCAACAAAAATATTAATGACAAGGGAATTTTTTTTTTCAAAATGCTAATATTAGATTCAAACCAAGGGCAAGAGAAATGGCTCAAAAGCCTGGAATGCATGCTGTGCACAGCTACTACATTGAGTTCAGATCCCCAACATTGCATTTATTTCCCCAAATGCCACCAAAACTAATCCCTGAGCAGAATCTAGAGTAAACCCTAAGCAACCCCAGGTATTGCCCAAACTCCACCTCACTCCATAAGAGGCTGGAGATCTCCATACCAGGAGTAGGCATCGAGCACCATCACATGTGACCAAAAAACAACCACAAAAGAGATTCAAACTGCAGGCTTTGAATGTATAAGGCCCTGAGTTCAATCCCTGGTCCAGCAAAAAAAAAAAAAAAAGTAAACTGATTATACAAAGATTTCAAAAGTCATGACAAAATAATTAAAAAAAAAATCAGCATTTTTAAAGTCAGTAAGGTACAAAAAGTTTGAGATACTTTAAAAGGCCTAAGTAGAAACATTTTCAAAAATAAGAAACACAAGACTACTATGTTGAATCCTCTTGTTGGATGAGGGCATATGTTTTCCTAAGTGTTTCAGTAAGTGCACTTTCTGACTGCCACAGCACGTAGGGCGGAGCAAGGAGCTGGGAACAGAGGAACAACTACAAGGCTCCGATGAGAGTCCAGGTCAGTAATGATAGTGGCAAAAGTGAAATGCAGAACAGTAAGTGGATCAGGAGGAGGAAACCACCAAAAAGAGGTTCCGACAGAGGCAAAAAAAGGGAGGCGCTCAGCACAGTATGTGTATCTCAGCCTGTCACAGTGGTTTCTTTGATCTCAAACACAGACCATGAGAAAGAGCAAAACTAGCACTTTCTCACACGTAACTATAAATGACAACATATAAAACCTATAATCCATCCCACTAGTGTTTCTTGCCCTGTCCATGGTCTAGCAGTCACTGAAACCATCAGTGCTCTGACGGCAGTAAGGAATCATCAAAGAGCAGTACCTGCTTGGTTTCTTGAGCAGTTCTTAAGTCTAGAACAATGTAACCTATCATTTCTTTGGCAGAAGATGAAGAATCCAAGGCAAAACACTGGAGTTTGATAGGAGTACGCTGGAGCCTGTTAATAAAAATTATGTGATACATTAAAAAGCTTCTGATCGATACAGGTTTCTATTCTTGAAGAAAATAGCTTGCCACGATGAAGATAACCATAGCTTTTTTGTTAACTTAAATATGTTCTGAATTTTCTGAAAAAAAAAAAAAAAAAAACTCTTCAGCTGACAGGCTGAGAACGTAGCTTGCTGTGCATATATGATACTCTGGGTTTAATCCAGAATCACATGGCAGGGGGGGAATAACTCTTCAGCAGCTAAAATAAATCATGTTCACTTGCCTATCAATGAAATAGTATACAAAACATGTCAAAAATCTTAGTCTCTCTCTCTCATCTAAGCTGCCATTTACATCAATGTTTCTGTAATACATAAAACTTGAAGTAAAAAAAATGATCATGAGTCCTGAAGAATTTTAAATTGTTGTCCTCTTTGTCTCACACACTGTAAAATGATAAATATATACTTATAATTATTTTTGTACTTTAAAAATTATAAATTAAATATATTAAAATAAAAACTACTAAGAGCCATACCAATGTAATCTATGACAATATTGGGTACACATGACATTGACTCTCCTCATACAATAAGCACATAAGATTCTACCAACACTTCTACTAAGAATGGAGTATAAAATCTGCCCTTGGCATAAAGTCATTTAATTTCAACTTATCTGTATCATGTTTCCCAACCTGCAAGAATCAGAGTGGTACCAATGACATTAACACAAGTATAAACTTGACTACTAAAGCAGGGACTAATATCTCATAGCAGGCTCCACTTAAATAGATTCTAAAAAACACTGAAAGAAAATACAAAATTTTAATGTTCTCTAAAAATGTATTACTGCCTCTCCAAAAAATCCATAGGCTGAGCTAACAGAAGAAAATTAATTACTCCTCTCAGTTTTTCAACTTTGCATGCTGATTTTATTTAGTACTGAAAAAGAGCAAGTTTTGAAGTGATCATGTGTGCTCCAGAAGGAAATTCTTATTTAAACAAAAAGTATCACTCTTCTTGCCTGCTTCTGGTTGTCTGAGCTCATGAAATATAGTCGAGGCCATACCAATGAAGTATATAAATGTCTGACATTAAATGTAAATTATAAGAGTTTGTGTATTCTTTTCATAACCTCTCAGTGAACTGCTCTAAATATACAGTAAATAAAAATAACATTCTAAATCATTTAGTATTGGGTAGGCATTAGCACTGTACTTAGTCTCTCATATATTATGAGGGATGGGAAGCAATTTATCATGATCAAAAGTTAGGACACTGGGGGCTGGAGCAATAGCACAGCAGGTAGGGCGTTTCACTTGCACGCGGCCCACCCGGATTCGATTCCCAGTATCCCATATGGTCCCCCGAGCACTGCCAGGACCTTAATTCCTGAGTGCAGAGCCAGGAGTAACCCCTGTGCATCACTGGGTGTGACCCAAAAAGCAAAAAACAAAAACAAAAACAAAAAAAGCAAAAAACGTTAGGACACTGGAGCTGACTTGACAAATTACTTTGCCTCTTAGGTCTGTTTTCTACACTATGACAGAGGAGGAGTAAACAGTCCCTTCTTCCTAAGGTTGTTCTGATGTATAAATGAATTATTATTGCAAAGAACTCTGAAACTCTCCTGACACATTAAGAAGCTCAACAAATGTTTTTACTACAGTCTAATGAGAAATGTTAAGTTTATTTATTTGATGACTTATAACCAAATGAAGAAAGGATAAAACAAAGTAAAAGTGACAGGCACCGGTGCTGATGAAGAGCTTTCCGGTCAATTTCCCAGGCTAACTCAGTGGCGAATTCAGGCTGGTCTGTGTGATCCACCGGATCAGTAGCCAACTGCTCTCCATCGAACTTCGCTTCTACTACAAGCACATGCTTTGGACGTTTGGGGAAATGGCGTCCTGATAAAAAAACAAAGCAGCATGGGTTCATCAGAAGTATCGAACAATAAGAACACAACTGCTTACAATGCATGTTTTAACAGAGAAGTATTAAATTGACTTATACAACTATAAGCTACTCTAAGGTGGACTAGGGTGGGAGCTAAGAGTCTGCATCTCTAAAAAGATCCCAAAGTCAGGGCAATGCTTTTGTCTTCAGTTCAGTCTGAACAGCAACAATCTCAGTAACATTTACAGAGGAAAGTGTGGGGGTGAAGGATGCAGTTCATCAGTGGAGCACTTACTTTGCATGTGTAAAACTCTAAATTTGATCCCCAATACAACAAAAATAAGCACAAATAAAGATAGAACATGATTACACCAATTTTAGATGTTGCTATTCCAGTAACCTGATACAGAACAAAGTGAATTTTCAAGGTTTGAAACTTGAAGTTAATTTTCCTCTGAACTCAATTGTCTTAAAAAGTTTGCTCCTGGGGCAGGAGCGATGGCACAGCGGGAGGGAGTTTGCCTTGCACAAGGCCAACCTTGGTTCGATTCCCAGCATCCCATGTGGTTCCTGTGATTCTTAGGCGTAATTCCTGAGTGCATGAGCAAGGAGTAACCTCTATACATTGCCGGGTGTGACCCAAAATGGAAAAAAAAAAAGTTTGCTCCTATGTTCACTGCAGCACTAGTCACAATAGCAAAAATTTGGAAACAACTCAAGTGTCCAAAAACAGGTAACTGGATCAAGAAACAATGGTACATATACACAATGGATTACTACTAGGCTGTAAGAAACTAATGAAATCATAAAATTTGCTGTGATATGCATGGATCTGAGTATTACATTAAGTGAAATTAGAAGAGAGACAGAATAATTTCTCATATATGGGATACAAAAAATCATTACAGGGGAATAAGAAATGTCCAAAGGCAACAGAAAATGAGAACTGGTCTTTAGTAGGAAGCTGGGGGGTGAGGAGGTAGGGGGGGCAAGGGGGAGTGGAATGACATGAGAACAGTGGGATAATGGTAGAAAAGCAGCCAGATACCACAGAGCAGTGGACAGGGCATTGCTGCAGTGTTTCATGTATGAAATCTTACTAGGGCTAAAGAATAGCAGAGACATTTGCCCTGCATGCAGACAACCAGGGTTCAGTCCATGGTCTCAGCAAGAGCTCTCCCTGAGCCAGGAGGAAGCCTTGAGCACAGCCAAGAGTGGTCCACAAACTCTACTAAGAACATTTTGTAGAACATGGTGCCTAGGGACTGGAGTGATAGTACAGTGGTAGGGTGTTTGCCTTGCATGTGGCCGACCCGGGTTTAATTCCCAGCATCCCATATGGTCCCCTGAGCACCGCCAGGAGTAATTCCTGAGTGCAGAGCAAGGAGTAAACCTTGTGCATTGCCGAGTGTGACCCAAAAAGCAAAAAATAAAAAGCTTTAAAACATGGTGCTCAAGGACAATGATGTGCATGACTCAGAAATGTCAATATTTCTATCTACACATCACTTTTCATTTGCTTTATCTAGCCCTATTCCTTCACTGTGCATATATATGTATATATCTTCAGAGGTGTTGAGATGAAAAGAAGTCAAAGAGAGTACTTGCCTCAAGGAACTGAGAACCAAATGGAAAAGACAGAGGAAATGAAAGAAACTTAATTACACTGAGTAAGCCCATCTGAAGGTCTGAGGAACAAGGTGGTAAGAGGCATTTTCACAACGATTAAAGACATCCTGCTGCTACTCCCTTGGCACGAACTGCTCAGTTAGAATTTAGTGGCTCACAAGGCCCTTGGCTGGAAAATCGGAATTTCAACCCAATCTTCATTTGGAAATTCCTATCAGACTTAGCACCTGTGCACTGATCCATCATGCCAGTGTTCACCGAGGCCTCTCTCAGGACCACATTTAACAGCTCTAAAGGAGCACGAGATTCCCCAAATGATTTTCATGTATGTCAAAAAAAAAAAAAAGAGAAAGAGAGAAAAATAGGAAGAGAGAAAGAAAAAGAGAGAAAGAAAGAAAGAAAGAAAGAAAGCTCTTTCCAGACACTCTCAGAACTATAGCCTCCAGAAAGTCTGCATACAGAAGACCAGAAGAGAACAAACAGATGGCCTGTCTCTTCCCAAAGACATGCCTGCCTTGGAAAAAATGAATACTGGAAAATATCTGGGGGGAAAATGGAGCCCCGTCATTTTCCTCTGGACAAACTAGTGTGGAGTCCAAATGGAGCGCAAGGTAGAAGGCCCACCACTTTCTTTTGAGGAAAAAGTATTTCTAGTAATACCAAAAGGAAAGCAACATGGGGGGGCCAGAGCAATAGTACAGCAGGCAGGGCCAAATGAGGGTTTGGTCCCCAGGATCCCATAGGGTCCCCTGAGCACTGCTAGGAGTGATTCCTGAATGCAGAGCCAGGAGTAACCTCAGTATCACCGGGTGTGACCAAAAAGCCCAAAAAAAGAAGAAAAAAAAAGAACACAATGTGGTACAGCGTAGTTGGGAACAGGCAGAAGGATGGGTCTAGCTCCTTCAGGACTCAAAGGCGTCTATAAAACATGATGTTTGCATTTCAGCAAGATTACTTGGGGAGAGTAACGTGGACAGTATACTTTTTTCAGAGAACACCTACAAACTGCGAAAATACTAAAATAGATGACATGCATACCAAGGGCTCCAAATCCCTGCCGATGGAAACTCACTCTCTAAATGGTCTGTATGGAGCACCTACAATGACTACAAAATAGAAAATCAACACAGCCCATTCTGAAATTGGGGAGCAAGAGAGAACCTCGCTCTGGCCTCACTCTAGGTCAGGTCAAGGCAAAAGTAGGGTTGGTTCACATGAAAACCCAAACAGCAGCTGCCCCAGCATGGAAGGAGAAGAGATAGCAGCTGTGGACAGGTGATGGGCAGGGCCCCACTACCACCCTGGCCTCCCCCCCCCCCCCCCACTCCCTCCCGCAACCAGCTGGCTACCAAACTGTCCTCTTTAGGAACCTAGGCTGTGAGGGCTGTCAAGATCCTAAGGCTGCACTGCACATCCCAAAGCTTTTTGTGAACCTGATCATAAGGGAGCATCAATCCTATGATTTTAAACACACTTTCTTTGTTTAGGGGCTACACATGGCTAGGGTGAGGGAATCCTCCTGGTGGTGCTCCATGGTCCATATGTTGTGCCTGGAGTAGAACCCAGGTCAGCCACATGCAAGACAGGTGCTTTAATTGCTGTACTATCTCTCCAGGCAGTCTTGAAGCATGCAACAGGTAACCTAATCGTTAAAGGTCCCAAACTATAGTTTTGAGTCAATCTCAAGATTCCCAAAGCCAAAAGTGAGGTGTCTAATGTCTTGTAACTATCTGGTGAGCCCCCACCACCTCAAATGCGAGGTCTCCATAGAACACCATCCAGCAGGGAGTGGAAAAGGGGGTGGGGATGAGGCTTCTCAGTACGACTCCCCTGTAATTCACCCAGTCTTCAATTTACCTATCAGCCTCAAGCCTCTCCACTTTCCCATACTCTGCTCCCCAAGGGCACAGAATTCCAGCAATCAGAGAAGCAATCTGCCTTCTCCAGACCTTAAGTGCTCTCTGTCCCCCGTCCACCACCAACTTTACCGGGTCTGGTTCTGCTTCGGTGGCCTGACAAACTCTCTAATCACCCTGAGCACCAAGGGTAGACATGCCACCTGCTCCAGGAAACCTTCCCGCTTTCCCAGCCTGCTCGTCGCTCTCCACGTTCCTCTCACCCGACACACACCCCAACCTCCCTTGACCTGGAGAACCCGGGCTCTGCTTCTTCGCTCTCCCCAAGTCCCAGCACCGTGCGTCTCTAACAGGCAGCCCCACTTGTCACCGTGACCACTGGCGTCCCCTCGACGCCCCGCACCCCAGCTGCGACCCCAGGCGACCAGCCGCTCACCTTCCAGGATGGACACGACGATGAGCAGCTGGTCGGACTTGGAGACCATGGTGGCGGCCGGTGAGCGGCGGGCGCGGCCTGCAGGGGGGGAGAGGGGCAGGGGTGAGCAGCGGGCAGCTCGCGAGCCCCGGCAGGGCTCCCGGCGGGGTCCCCAGCGCCCGCCCGGGGCTCCGGGCACCAGGCTCCGGCTCCGCGCCCCGGCCCCGCCGGCAGCGCGTCCGACTCCCCTGCCCGAGGCCGCCATCCCAAAGCCCCAAGCCCGGCCCCGATTCGACGCCCACGTCGCTCTGACAACCGGGCTCCCGGCCAGCCCGGGACACGAGCCCGCCGCCCGAGGACCTTTTGCCGCCTGCGTAGCCGCTTTTCAAACGCCCGGGCAAGCCGCGCCACGGCGGACACCGCCGCGCCCAGCTTCCGCCTAGCAACCAGGCCCGCAGGCCCAGCGCCCGGGGGAGGCTGGAGGACAAAGGGACATAGAGAGCAGGGCCGTGGAAGATAGAACGTCCCAGGTCCGCTTCGCTTCCTGCCCTTTAACGCTACGTTCCAATGCCCTAGGAGGGAAAGCCAGGCCACTAAGTCCCACAGCGCCCCCTGCCAGCCGGACGGGGGAAAGCGAGCTCTGCGGGCCCCGCAGTTGAAGTGGACAGTGCGCAGGCGCACTACCGCCCAGCACGCTTCCGGAAGTTCCCCTTTAGGGCGCCTGAGCGTAGTATATGCTCGACTTTATGCCTCTCAGACCGCCTGGGAAATCCATCAGTAGGGATTAAAGAGAAAAACACCGGCCGAGCTCCGTTCAGGTCCCTCAGGGCCAACACCGCTTCAAATTGAGTGAAAGACAATGACAAGTTTGAGCTCTAAAATCCCTAATTTTTTTCTCTGACGGTCCTTCGGGTTTCTACGCATTTTCTACGCTTTGAAAAAGTAGCGTCTATACGGTAATTACTGTAACTGTTGGCGGGGACGCGAGCTCTCAGGGAATTTCCTGTACATTAGAAGTTGCCGTAAAACAAAACATTGTCACGTGGGTAGGGAAACTAAAGGTTCTTTTATTCCCCTACCGCAACGTAATTAGCAAAGTCAAGACCAAAAATTGAACCAGACTTCTAAAACTTCCGTCAAAGGGATGTTTGTACCCCCTCTTAAGTTTCTGTCTTTATTTTAAGGAATATTGCAAATATTACGCCTAGTTTGGAACGGGGCCAAGTTCGGACAAGCCTTGTAGGCTTATGAAAAGGGAGGAGGAGAGAATAATACACCCCCCACACCGTTGCTTTGTACCTAAAAGATGAGGAGAAGGAGGTTGGAAATTGCACTAGAACTGGTTTACTTCTAAGTCCTTTTCAGAAGCCTTTTTGAATTGAGCATTATTATGAGATCACAGCGCTGATCTACTCTAGGCTCATCATAAAACTACAGTCTTTTGTGAAAGATGTCAGACTCAAAAGTGAGCAGAAGAATGCGATGCGTTTGCAGGAGTGCTGTTCACTGATCATCAGCCTATCTCAAACATCTTCAGAGTATTCCAAAATAAATCCCTAACAATGTGTCACTTCATTAATTCCAATACGAACAAGATAAATAGTTTTATTTTGGAGGGGATTGCTCCCAAGCTGTGTTCAGCTGTCTCTGAGCTGCCCCCAGGGTTTACCCCAGCCCACTGGTGGTCCAAGGAGAGAGTCCAAGGATATGGTGCTGCTCAGACCCTGCAATGCTGGATTACCAGATCTAAGTACAGCAATGCTGGCCTGTCTCCAGAGGCACACCAGAGATGGTGGGGTCAGGGGCCTGGGAATTGTGCAGGGCTGGGATACACACAAGCATGAGTCCCTAGCCCCTCGGTTATCTCCTTCCCCGCTCCCCACCTAAGAAAAGAAGTTTTCAGGACAAAGATACTACAGGAGGAAAGGCACTTGTCTTGCCTGTCTCTGATCCAAGTTGATCCCTGGCACCATATATGGTCCCCCAGGACTACCAGAAAAATATTCAAATAAGGGCCAAATGCTGAAGTATTTTTTTAGTTTTAAAAAGAAATCAACAAACAAAACACAAAGTTATCAGAAGGTTAAAAACAAAAACAAATCAAAACAATCAACCTTGACATTAAACTGTAGGAAACAAAGAGGCCTAAAGCTAGGAGACTTATATTTTCATTGAACAGAACCCCTGGAGAGCAGGGTTTGTGACCCACCTCTACATATACATACAGGGTGGCTTTATGCAAATCGCTTTTTCTTTGAGACTTAATTAGACCCACATTTCCCTGCATAATCATGGCTGATTTAGGTAAGATAAAAAGGTAAAGGCCCTCCTTTGTTCCTCGATTTGCTCGAGCAGGCCCAGTAACGTCTCCATTGGAGACTTTGTTGTTACTGCGTCTGGCATATCGAATACGTCACGGGGAGCTTGCCAGGCTCTGCTGTGCGGGCGAGATACTCTCGGTAGCTTGCCAGGCTCTCCGAGAGGGGCGGAGGAATCGAACTCGAGTCGGCCATGTTGGCTGCGTGCAAGGCAAATGCCCTACCACTGTGCTATCGCTCCATGTGGCTGATTTAATCCCAAATAGTTTTTCAAGTGATGTGCAACCATTATTTGAAGCTACCTAGCTTGCTTGCTTTCTCATGATATTATTGGAGAAAAAAAAAACCCACACAGTTCTGACAATTATGTGGTGAAATATCTTCTGCTTCCTTAGTTTGGTACATACAGTAGTATGATTCCTTAGTTGAGAGATTAGTGATAGTAAATGTTATTTTATATCTTTTATATGAACAAAGAACATCAAACCGTTAGGACTTACAGTTACGAGAACTAGGAACTGCCATCTATCAACCAGATTTAATTGATGTAAAAAAGATTTGAACTGAAAAATAAAATAAAACCTTGTGGTTATGCTTACGATCTCCAGGAGGTTTTAACACCTGCATTATAAACCATCAGTGAAAAGTATGGAATATCCTCATACCAGAAAAAAATATGACAAATCATAGAAATTGAGAAACTTTCCACATAGTAACATTTTCATTCAGTCCTCTTTGTCTAGATATACCCCCATTCCTCCCAAACAACAATACTATGACTTCTAAAATCATATTATTACAGCTACTGGATAGTCCTCAGTCTAATTGGCACAGTGGCAGTGGTGTTTTCATAACAAAATAAGTGCCATGAAATTTCACTTTTATCCCCCTAGAAATGAGATTATAATTCTATCAGTCTCTATAACCTCCTTATCTATAATTCTATAATCTAATTTCCTCTTTATGCAATATGAAACAGTCGTGACTTCTGGCATAAATCACCATATTTTAGTTTAAATTCCTGAGAGAATATTTTGTTATAGTTTATGAAATACCAATTATTGTTCAGAATGTGTAAGTAAATGCTGTTAAAATATAAACCTTGCCTATTAAACAATATGAGGTTCATTATACTATAAACATGTAAATTCAAAATGACATGTTTCATTTTGTGCTTGATTTTGGATTTATTAATTTATCACCCCTAGTAGCCTATCATATTAGGTAGCATTCTACTTATGTATTTTTACAGTAACAGAAAGAGACTGAAACAAAGCTATTTTTCACTTCTTAAAATAGGGATAGGGGCTGTCCAAATGATGTTCCTTCCTTGGTGCTGTCACAGAACGTCCCTCACAATGCTTGGGGGACAAGGAGGTGCCTGGGACTTTCTCAGCATCATACGAGCTAATCATATTTTCTACCACATAAGCTGTTGCCCTAGGACCCCAAGTAAAGTTTTTTGACTAATTTTGTTTTGGTTTTGTTTTGCGTGGGTAGGGAGGCACATCTAGCAGTGCTCAGGGCTACTCCTGGCTCTGTTGTGAGGGTAACTCCTGGCAGTGCTCAGGAGACCTCGAAGTGTTGGGGAATCGAACCCATGAGCCCACATTCAAACCTATGAGCTATTCTCCAACCCCATTTTGGCATATTTTCAGACTTTTTTTTTTTTTTGCTTTTTGGGTCACACCCAGTGACGCACAGGGGTTACTCCTGGATCTACACTCAAGAATTACTCCTGGCGGTGCTCAGGAGACCATATGGGATGCTGAGAATTGAACCCAGGTCGGCCGCATGCAAGGCAAACACCCTACCCGCTGTGCTATCACTCTAGCCCCCATTTCAGACTTTCTATTCTGCAGCTACTTCACATTTTTGAAAAACACTTGTAGTCTGTCTCTCTGTGTTTGTTTCTAATCTCTTTAACTTCTGTGACTGACCATAGGAGGAAAGAAAATCTGCATCCCCTTTCCCTTCCTTGGCCTCTTTCCTCTTCCTCCTCCCTCCTGGACACACAACAAACAGACATATGCAGACACATATGCTTTCACACACACACACACACACACACACACACACACACACACACACACACACAGATACTTTCTCTCTGTCCCTGACTCTGTCTCTGTCTGTCTGTCTGTCTGTCTGTCTCTCTCTCTCTCTCTCTCTCTCACACACACACACACACACACTCACATAGGGAGATAAAGACACACTCTCAGGACTTGTAAAACAAACTCATCTATTACATAAATTCTTTCTGCAAAGGCTCGGAACCAGAGAAACCCTGTCCTCAAGAAGTGCCCCAAAAAATGCCTTCTTTTAGATGAAATGAGAGTGGGGTAGTTATTTGTTCCCAGTGCCAGGATGACTCAACTTCCCCTCCAGCATCTGATATAATCAAACTTGGCGATTTGGGTGCCTTTAATCTCACAAAGATGGTCCACAAATGTGGACGGTTGGAAAGGCTGTGCTGCCCAGTTCCATACCACCACAGCTTTTTCACTTGGCCAAGTTATAATTCTCTGAGCCTCAGTTTCTCCCTCTGTAGAATAGGCCCCATCATCCTTTCTTCAACATGATTTAGGAGAATTAAATTAAATAGTTTTGTTTCCCAATGTGGCAAAATTAAATCTCTAACAGGGTTCCTATTTTTATTGATAAAGTGGAGGGATAAAGTATTATGATACTTTCAGACTTGTTCCTTCTGTTTTTTCCAAGATACCAGGTCATCCATGCTTCCTTACCATAGCCCAGGTATATGTTGTAGGGGTAATATTCCTCCAAAATAACCACAAATAGCAAGTTTTGTGACTCCCTTTGACTTTTGTGACATTCTGTATAAAGCATAGCACCCCCAAATCCAACTCTTCTTGGGGTCATGAATCTGCATGAAGCTTTGTGGTGGATCCTAATGGTCTGAAGAGAAGAAGAGCAGAACTGGACAAACTTACATGACCCATGACCTCCTTTTTAGAAAATCAAAGTCAGCAGCACGTTGGAAATCTACCTTCATATTTAAGTTTTGGGG